AATTACAATTCTTTCATCCTTGCCCATTAACAGGCTGGGTGGGGTAGAGAAATGTTGGATGCCAATTATCTTTGGATTTTTTTCGTACGTGATTTCCTTTTATGGAACAAGGAAGGAAACTGTGCCTATGAGAGAAAATTAAACAGTGGCATCATTAAAGTAAATAGTACAGAAAGTAAATACTATCTGTTCTTCAGAAAGTAAGTGGGCAAAGGGGAGGATTATTGACATACCTCTTACCCAGGATTCTATAATGTGCTTCTGGTTTGTGTATCCATATGCCTAAATTCCAAACATATGAGTGAGGCCATTTTCTATTTATGAGTGGAAACTTTTTCTTTTCTTTCTTTTTTTCTTTCTTTCTTTCTTTCTTTCTTTCTTTCTTTCTTTCTTTCTCTCTCTCTCTCTCTCTCTCTCCCTCCCTCCCTCTCCCTCTGTCTCTGTCTCTCCCTCCCTCCTTTTGTTCTTTCTTTCATCAAGAATTGAATTATAAATCTTTTTATTGTAGTCAGCCACTTTCAAAATTATAATAATTATGATGAAGATTTAACCCAATTCTTCCATCCAACTCTCCCATGAATGCAACAATAACCCCTCCAAAATTCTTATGAGCTCCAAATGGGAAGTTTCTATTAATTGCTCTCTCTGCAAGGAGCAACACTAATTCTGAATTTTGACTGGCACTTAAAATGGAGCACAGATTCCTAAGTATCACATACAGTTTTAGTTACAAGTTTTTAGTTTTTGGTGCTGCATGGAGACTTATAAAATGGCAGCAATACTGTACAGAGACTGCCTTCCTTGGCTTGAATGGCTTCCAAGCCCAAAATGTACAGTATAGTAATTTCCTGAATTCCACGTGATCTTTATTCTAGTAATGCTTATTTAGATGTTTTTAGATTAAAGGACTTGCAAGAATTTTGCATTTTCATGATTTTGGGGTTAACGAAATTATTACAGGAGGTCAAACAAGATTGAAATTGTTGGGCAGCATTGGGCTTCAGAGTTTTGTGACAGTGGTCTAGAAAACAGATTTCCTAATGTTTCACCAGCAAATGTGTCTGGCATCTACAGAGGCAAGGTAGTCGGTACAGTCAGCCACAAGTAACTGAGCAGGGACTTACTGAGTTCCTGCTCATCAGAATTGCCTCTGTGGTCTTGAAGCCCAAAACTGCCCAACAGATACCGGCTGCGAATGCCTATATCAGTGTACGTTTGAAATCCTTAACTGAGAAGCACTTGACTTTAGTGAACAGTACAATACATGGTCTACAAGACTCAGGAGATAGCAGTGGCTGGACTGACTTGGATTAAGGTTTGGGCTTGGTTAACTTTGGAATTTGCAGATGGAGACTCCAGCCAAGAAATTAAAAGACGCTTGCTCCTGTGGAGGAAAGCTATGACAAATCTAGACAGCATATTAAAAAGCAGAGCCATCACCCTGCCAACAAAAGTGTATATAGTCAAGGCTATGGTTTTCCCAGTTGCAATGTATGGCTGTGAAAGTTGGACCATAAGAAAAGCTGAGTGCCAAAGAATTGAGGCCTTTGAACTATGGTGCTGAAAAAGACTCCTGCGAGTCCCTTGGACTGCAAAGCGATCAAACTGGTCAGTCCTAGAAGAGATCAACCCTTACTGCTGTTTAGAAGGCCAGATTCTGAAGATGAAGCTCAAATACTTTGGCCACCTAATGAAAAGGAAGGACTCACTGGAGAAGAGCCTAATGCTGGGAAAGAGTGAGGGCAAAAGAAGAAGGGGACGACAGAGAACAAGGTGGCTGGATAGAGTCACTGAAGCAGTCAGCATGAGCTTAAATGGACTCCAGAAGATGGTAAAGGCCAGGAAGGCCTGGAGGAATGTTGTCCATGGGGTCGCAATGGGTCGGACAGGACTTTGCAACTAATAACAACAACAGACTTTAGAATGAAAGGATCACGGACTAAGCTGGGAAGTTGAAATATACCCCAGAAGAAGGAATCATTTCTTTACTATATTGTTGCCAAGAAAATTGCATGGACAAGTCAGGAAGCCTCCAGGAGGTGGGCCTGAAGGAGATGTTTCCTTTGTCCATGTTGCATAAAAGCTTCATATTTGTACTTTGGTTCCCTTCTCCCTCCTTCCCTATCCAAAGACTTACGTAATCTCAGTTTTCTTCAGATACAGAAAATACATTATTGTTGATGTTGACCTAAAAAAGGAAGACGGGGAGAGGAGAATAGAACCGATAGGAGGCAGATATATTTCCTGCTGCAGCAGCTCTGTATGTAATCTGCTTCCTCAGTCCCCCAGCGTGTAATGAAATAATGAAATATCTTACGAGGAAAAAAAAACTGTTTTGAAAAAAGAAAAGTAGCTATGGCTGGAGAATGAGCTCTACGCATGTTGGGCTTCAGAGAAGCATTATGTCATTCTCATTTGCACTATTATGGGATGATCTCATGGAGGAGGGGTTGCTGCAATTTACAGCTCTGCTATTTCAGCCATGTGATGATCAGCGTTCACTGTGCTCACCAGCAGAACAGAATGAAAGGGGAAAAGAAGAAGAAATGGCATTGTAAATTATTGAAAATCCTGAGAGGTTTTAAAGAACAAATGCTGGAATGGACAGATTGACAGTAACAGGAATGTGATGCACTTGCTCCTTTTTCTGTTCCTCCAGAGGAATTTTATCTACGAGAAGAAGAAATCACTCAGGTTGATAATTTTTTTTTTTTTTGCAGCCCCTATCAACTTTTCCCTTGCAACCTTTCCCTACCATTCTATGATCTCCATTTAAAGACTCCTTACTTTTTTTTTAAAGAGGAAAAGCATATATATTAAACCTATTGTATAACTTGAAAACTGTGCCCATTAAACAATGCATCTGTGCCATGGTGCTTATTGTGATTGATAATTCCCAAATTGCTTATTGTTAAATTACTTACTTAGGGTACAAATCTGTGAAAAACAATTTGTACTTAAAAAAAAAAATCCACAAGAATTGAAAAATGGCAGTCGGAAGACAAAAATGAAGATTGTTGAGAACTAGAAGTAAAAACTGGCAAACCTGTATCTTTAAGCAACAGTATATAGAATGAGAATCCAAACCAATCAATTAGGTCATCCATATCATAAATTGGGGACAAATCAACTTTTTCCAGCCAGTAATCCATCCTCCTTCTCCTCCTCCTCTCCTCCTCCTCCTCCTCCTCCTCCTCGGGAGCTTATATTAAAATAACACCTGTGGGGAAGAAATTTTAACATTTCTTCCTTTTATTTAAATTATACAGTTAAATATAGCTTTATAGGATTTTTGTTTCAAAACCTCTGCATTTGCCATCCATTTAACAGATTTTTTAAAAAGGACTTTAGCAGATCCATATTACCTCTGCTATTCCCATAGAATCCATATACTTCTCTCAATGGCAGTCCTATGCATGAGTCGTTGTGCAAAGAAAAACGATGAGACTATCAGTTGCAATGCCACGTGGTTGAATTATAAACATAGTGGATTTTACAATATTATTAATGTGAATAGCAGTGCTAGAAAAAAGCACCATGGCACCATAGATGGCATACTTTAAATGAGGCACAGTTTTTGACTTAATTTCATGAGCAATTCATATAAAATGTGTTTTTATAAAAAAATAAAATAAAATCTATGACATATTGCAATGCTTTAGCAAAGAACAGAAAACACAACAAGATGTATAACCTTTTGCCTCTCCTGTCCACTGCTTAATTTCAGGAACTGGTTATTCCTCTGTGTGGCTATAAACTGTAAAATACAACAACTATAATCCACATAATCCACAGCTTTGCTGCCCACAATAGTAGAAATTGTTGCCAAATACATGTCACAGTTTGAGACAGAGAATCTTTGGAAGTATTGCTAAACTGCCTTGTTTGGACTGCCATGTTTTGGCATGACTACCTGGTAGACTTAACCGCCTTAACCTTTAACTAGACAGTTTTGAAGCACATGTTGAAAGTCAGTACAGTGAGCAAATACTATCCATTGAACAGATACTGGCCAAATTGTTCTTTTGCTTGAAGCTTTTAAAGAGCAGCTAGACACCCCATGCCCCAATTGGGGCATCATTTCAGGGATATTTCTTTATCTAAACAGAGAAATAGAATCACCAATGGTAGCCAAAAAATAGTGTGAGCAGGAGTGACTGACTTCCTGCTAGCTTTTTCATTGACTTTCCTTGTGGGAATCTGGCAGGAAACATTGGCGATTCCCTTCCCTTCCTTTCCCTTCCCCAGGAAGCAGGTAAGTGGCTGCTGCTGGATGGGGGAAGGAGTGAGAGATTGCAAGAGTGGCTGGGAAATTGTCTCAGAACACTGAAAATTAAGAACCATAGCAGTGTAGAAGCAGCCAATAACACTGAAGCAGCCATAACTTCCCCAAATTTCATTCACTCTGGAGTCGTGGTCACAGATTTTGGACACTTTCTGTAAATTAGTCCGTTTGAGGTAGCTTAGTTTTAAAATGTTGCCCTATGATGCACTGTTTCACCCAGTTAAAGGTCATGTGAGAATTTTAGTACAATTCCTTGACTTACAACAGTTTGTTTAGAACTGTTCAAAGTTACAGTGGCACTGGAAAACATGACTTATGACTGTTTTTCACACTTATGACCATTGCAGCATCCCCATGGTCATGAGCTCAGACTTTTGGCAACTGATTCATATTTATGACGATAAATATGAATCAGTTGGAGTAATGTTATCACCTTTTGCGACCTTCTGACAAGCAAAGTCAATGGGAAAGCCAGATTCACTTAACAACGTAATTTAACTGCAGTGATTCACTTAACAAATGTGGCAAGAAAGATCGTTAATGGGGCAAAACTGACTTAACACATGTTTCACTTAGCAACAAAAAGCTTGGGCTCAATTGTGGTCGTAAGTCGAGGACTACCTGTAATATATAGATTAGAATTTGGAATATTAATAGCACATTGCTTTCTAACTCCTTTTTCATTTGTTCCTGGTTTCTAATCATTTTGTTTCAGAAAATCTTCAGAAGAAGTGGACATGGATAAAGTCACGGCAGCTATGGTTCTAACTACTTTATCCACCAGCCCTTTGGTTCGCAGCCCCCCAATCCGTCCTAATGGTGAGCATGTTTCCAGGAGAGATTGTGAAATAAAAGTTTGGGGAAAGGATACACCTAGCTTCATTTTTCCTTCTGCCTGCCAGTAGGAAGACAAACCACCAGTCATTCTCCCTAATGTGGGGTGAAGTTAGTGATTGTAAACAGATGTTTATACTAGGGCAGGCATGTCAAACTCAAGGCCTGTAGGATGCAGTCTGCAGGATGCTTAAATCTGGCCCATGGGGAAATAGCAAAGGACTAGCCCACGGTGCCTCTGGCAGCCAAAATGGGGCACTGGGGGCTGCGTGTGCCCCCCCTGCTCCATTTTCAGACTGGATGGCCTCCAGCACTCTCCTAGCCAAAATGGGGCAGGGGGCCACACGCACTCCCCTGTGCCCCATTTTGAAGCAGAGTGCTGCAGCAGGCGTGCAGGCCAAAAATGGGGCACAGGGCAGCCATGTGCGGCCCCGGTGGCCTCATTTTGGCCAGCAAAGTGCTGCAGGAGGTGTCCGTCCCACCTACCTCCCCCTCCCGGCCAACCCGCAGAGGAGAACTACAATGCTGATTCAGCCCTTGAAGAAATCCAGTTTGACACCCCTGCACTAGAGGATTTATCCACTTGTTTAATTTTCCAACTAACAGAATGAAGATGTGGATGGTTTCATAATGTGAAACAGAAGTCAGGGTCTTCCTGTTCGGTTCTTCTACACAGCACAATCCCTTCTTCGTGCTAATGACTTGTCAATTAGGTTATTTCTGACCATAGGTCTAAGGCATTACTTCATATGATAGAGCATGTTTTGAGATGTAGACTGGCCGACAGATTACAGGCACTGATTGAATAGGAGACAACAAAAACAAATGCTTATTGATTGCTTCTGCAAAGCAGTGACAGTGCTGGCAAGGAGTGACCAAGAAATCTAGCTCTGACCTTCATAGCTGCCAGTGATCAAGAGGAGTGAGGGGCTACCATTAACTACAGTCACTACTTAGCATCTAGTTGCCAAAGCTACAATTGAATAGGCAAAATGGTGTGGGGTTTTTTCTCCCCCAAGGTAATAAAAAGTATCAAAGCTATAGCCATGTAAAACGCCTCATCAAGCAGAAGCTAACCTGTAATGCTTTCAATAGAGACATGCATAGCAAAACACAGCTGATATAACTTGATTGCTTTCTGGTTTGAATTGACTTTTTGTGCTATTTAGAACTGGTGCTTACTTTTAAAAGAACTAAACCAATGGTGGGTTTCAAACATTTTTACTACCAGTTCTGTGGGTGTGACTTGGTGGGCGTGGCATGGCTTGGTGGGTGTGGCTTGGTGGGCATGGCAGGGGAAGGTTACTGCAAAATCCCCATTTCCTCCCTATCAGCTGGGACTTGGGAGGCAGAGAATAGATGGGGGCCAGTCAGAATTTTTACTACCGAACTACTCAAAATTTCCGCTACCGATTCTCCAGAACTGGTCAGAACCTGCTGAAACCCACCTCTGCACTAAACCCATATTTGGAAGACATATCAGAAGATCCGCTCTTTGTAAGCAGTCTGCACAAGACCCAAGAAGTGCTTTACAAAAGACTATCAGGCATTGTATGAACAGATACTTCTATGGAAGCTGTACATTGATCTTCCTTACAGCAAAAGTCAAAAGGGCTATGAAAGGCAGATTCCAGCAACTAGGAGAAAGGGAGGAAGGAAGGATCGTAGCATTTAGAAACAGATGCCTGAACAGAATTGCGTTTCTAGAATGTGCGAAGCTTTAGTCTTAATACACAAAATTTAGGAGATAATCCTGAATGGGTTGCCATAGATGCATCAGTTGGGATAAGATTTCAGTTAGATTCAGCCAGATGCTTTTTGTGAAATTGTATTTCAGTAACCCACAATAGCAGCAATTTTATGCATGGACATTTCCTCCCATAACAGTTATGTTACAGAGGAACGCATTATACTTCCCCAAAATTCTGGACATGTTTGCCCACTCAAAGAGGAAGAAAAACCTTGGCCTAATCAACTGTCCAGCTGCAACCTTAGTGGCTTCTCAAATAGATAGATTGTCTAGAATAGGTTCCTGGCTGTAGCCTTCTTTGAGCATGGCATGGTAGGAAAATATGACTAAGTCTTTGTTTATATCAAGTATAGTTTATTTATGGAGTTTGGAAGACCCCCAAAATATAGAACCATGTATATTCCTGGAAAATATCTATGGTGTGTATATATGTGTGAGTGATGTGTACTTCTTCTATCTTAGTAGACAATAATTTTATTTTCAATTCGTTGTATGTAAACTAGATGCCCCAGCACTTTTCCTAAATACATATTTTTAGTTCTATTGCCCCAATTCTCTTACTAAAAATAGTTTGTTTGTTTATTTATTTACAGTATTTATTAAATTAATTTGCCTCCCATTTTGTTTTGAAGTGACTCTGGGCATCTTACAGCATTAAAAGCATTAATATCCAACTTGTAGTTATCTTTTTTAATGCTATTGTTAATTTATAGAATCCTTAAATGGATCCTGGAAAGAAGGAGGATTTGTGCCTTCCAGTACCAGTAGCAGTGGGTATTGGAGCTGGAGTGCTCCAAGTGACCAATCAAACCCATCCACTCCATCACCTCCCCTTTCTGCTGACAGCTTCAAACCATTTCGATTACCATCTCAAACTGATGATGGCATTGACGAAGCTGAAACTAGCAGTCTTCTTTTTGATGAACCCATTCCTAGGAAAAGGAAGGTGAGCTTGATATTAAATGTGCCAATATTCTTTTATAATGTTACACCTGTGTTTATCAACCTTGGCAGCTTTAAGATGGGTGGACTTCAATTCCCAGAATTCTGCGGCCAGCATGTATATTATGATGTTATATGAACAAATACCTGTGTTTACTTATGAAAGACTCCATCATATATCATTTTTATCTAAAGCCAGATGTTTACTTGTTTCATTTTGCCTTTATTTACTCTTCATTTTTTAAAATATATGGCAATTGGTTTAGTCCTCTTAAAAGAAATCTTTGTCTGAAAAGCCCTGGAGTTGTTACAGATAAATTGCTAGTAGATTAAATATTAGAAAATTCCTGCGTGTGTTACTGTATTGTACTAAAGTTGCTACTACTTGTCATTCTAATATGAAAACAGAGTGAACTCATTTCAGTGTTCCAAATTAGCTTTGCAAGATTATTGATCAAAAGATCAATATTGTATAGTTCTGTTTATGAATGGTGAACTTAAATTGCACTCAAGTGCATGTTTCTCAAAAGTAAATCCCCTAAATTCAGTAGGCCTATCTCCTTAAATGTATGTGTCCTTGAAACATTAATTTTAATTTACTTTAGTATTAATTTAAGTAGAATACGGTAATTTGAAATCCATGCTTGTTAAATGAATGTACTGTGTACAGATTGTGCTCCCTGTTTAACTTCTCAGAACTCCATGAAAGTAATGTTTAAATGCCTTTGGAAAAACTGTGGAAAGGTCCTAAGCACTGCTGTTGGCATTCAGAAACACATCCGGACTATTCATCTAGGGTGAGAAGACTACAGTTCTTTTTATTTGTGAAACAAATTTTATCTCAATGTTAGCATTACTTTGAAGCGAGTTCACTAAGATTTATAACCAAATGAGCATGTTTATAATCTAGCTATTACTGGTGGTAATCCCCTTATTTCTTTTTCAGTATCAATACAGGAGTTTGCATATAACACTGAAGTCTGTTTTATCAGTCCTTTGAGCTAGGGGAAATGAATCAGCAAGAATTCAGTTTCATATAAGCAGTGTCCTTGCTTTTTATTATGTATAAATTTGTTTCCATTAATGAGTAGACATACCAGCCAATGACAAATCTTAGATTGTTTTCTTGATTTGCTAAAGAAAGTAGAATTTATTTTAAGCCACAATTTCCAATGCATAAGAATCAAAGCAACATTTTCCCTAACATGAAACAGAGCGCTGATTTATTTTTCCTTTTTGGCCACTCCAAAGAAGGAACAGTCAAAAACTAAAAACCGGGCACTTGGGTTCATTTCGTTGTGTGCCAATGAACTAAGCTTAATTTATTAAGTTAGTAATTATTATAACTGAAGCTACTGAATCGCTAACACAAATTTGATAAAATCAAAAGTTTTAGAAAGATTTGGGAATTCTTTTTGGAAAAAAGAAACAGTTTTTCTGAAAAAGGATTCCTGTTATTTGTGGAAATAACATCTGGATGACTTACACAATTGCAACAAGCTGCTGCAGATCTTTGGTTAATGTGTTTCCCCTTATCTCTCCTCCATCTGCATGGCCATGATAAACTTAGGCAATTTTGCTTCAGTTTTAGATTCACAACAGTTTGTTTCAGTTAGACCCAACCAATTGTGGTAAATCCTAACTATAGTTTGTTTAAGCCAATTTCCTTGAGATGAATTCAAATTACTTCAGTGAAATATATGTTTTGAATACAATTCTGAAAAATGAATAATATTCTTTTTCTTAAAAAAAGAATGAAAGAATTCTTTAAAAATAGAACAAACCTTCCATTTTCCTCTCTGTAGCAACACCAATAGAAAAACAAGGACTAAAATGAACCCAAAAGATTTTTAGTATTTAAAAGCTCTCCTGTCAATCACAATAGGAATAATTAAAAATTAAACTCACTGAACTGTGCTGTCATTTCTCATGATATCTTTTTCCCATTAATTCAAATTTGCATTTAATAATTTTTTTAATAAAATAGTGAGTGGGTGGGAAAAGTGAATTGAATCTCACTCATTGCATAATCTAGGTACAATTATAGGCTTTTTCTTTCTCCCAAATTTTCTCGTTTGCCTCATCAAATTGTTGTGAGAATAAAGGAAAAGAACATGCTGAAAGTTTTGAAGGAAATGTCAGATACAAATATGAGGAATAAATGAATTAAAGTCTATGTCTACTTTAAATAATCTATGTTTCCACCAGCCTAATTTATAAAATGTGAAAAATAAAATTCTTTTTTATTCCAATATTTTTGAAGGTATATTCTGTGCGCATGAAATATAAGAATATTAACTGATCAGTGGATCTCTTCTGAAGAGATAAAGTCTTTTCTATGTAACTGTGTATATATATCTTTCCAGTGTCCTATGTATAGAAATGCTAGTGCAAATATTTCCCCAACGTGCACATGAATATATTAATTAAAATATATATTATTGGTTTTAGTGGTAAAAGTATTAAACAATTCTGGTTTTTTTTGCAAAGACTCATATTAATATATTGGAACTTCTTATTATACTGAATTTGGTACAGTATTGATAACTTCTGACTGTCATTTCTTTAGACGTGTAGGAGAATCTGACTACAGTGACGGAGAGGAAGATTTTTACTACACAGAGATACGTCTCAACACTGACTCAGTAGCGGATGGATTAAATAGTTTATCTCCAGTTTCACCCTCTCTAGCATCTCTTCCTTCTTTTCCATCCCAAGATGGGAACAGAAGTGAACTATCATGTGCCAAAACAGATGCTAAAGGGATGACGCCTCTAAGCCGTTCAGCTCCTACCAACCTCTACCTCATTCACTCTGACCACGCTTACCAGGTGAATATTTTCTTTGATTACATTTCATTTATTTTAGTTTACTATCCATAAATTAGTCTAACTAGATTCAGTAGTAATAAAGTGGAATTGAGCTGTGATTGACTTGTGGTTACATTTAGGGTTTTGTTTTGTTTTTTTGCATCCTACCCTCTTTTTCTCTTTCTTGCTGCAAAGTTCTTGGAAAATCGTTTAAAGTAGGTATCTGAAATTGCTGAACTATTTTTACACTATGATTAATAACACTAAATTAGGATTATACTTTGCATGCAGGTCATGTGCTATTCATTGTTTCAGAATAATAAGACTTCTGGTGTTGAAATAGTAGAAGAATGTGTTACTCTTTCGTGGAAAGGAGGAGAGGCGAAATGGAAGCACATAGTACCTCTCTGACAAAATTGTTTCATTTATTTATTTATTTTCCACCTTTATTATTTTTATAAACAGTGTGGCAAATGTAGCTAATTCTCCATCCTCCTCTTATTTTCCCCACAACAAGAACCCTGTGAGGCAAGTTGGGCTAAGAGAGAATGCTTTTCATGACTAGAATTCACAGTCTCTGGATTTTTAGCCAGGTGCCTTAACCACTAGGCCAAACAGACATACTTGTTGCCTTTAAACTAGCAATTATGTTTTGATGCTAGTTTGAGTATCATAATTCATTGTATAAATTGGATTTGTTTATCACAGAAGCTTTGGAAAATATTTTGAAAATAGATTTAGATTTGCATATTTTTATAGATATAAAAAATTTATACTAACTTTAAGTGTGAGAGGAATTAATAAAATATGATAGAGTCTTATTTTAACAGAGAGTCTTATTTTCTTTTGACCACCCCCTGAATAAGGGCTTGGCCTTATTATCGGGGGGGGGTGTCTTATTATTTTGGGGGTACAGGAGGCGACAAGTGTGGGACTGGATGTCCCGTCACTGCCCTCGCCTCCCCTCCCTGTTCTTCGTGCCGGCCAAGCAGCCCAACACGTCCCACCCCAACCCAATGGCAACAGCTGCTTCCCTTCCCCACCGTCTCTTTATTGAGAGGGGTGGCAGCAGGAGTGAAATCTAAAAATTTTCCCTACTGGTTCTCTGGGTATGGCTTAATTGGTGAGCGTGGCTTGGTGGTCAGGTGACCCCTCCCCATGGGTGTGGCTTGGTGGTCAGGTGACCCCCTCCCCCGGTGGGCATGGTTTGGTGGTCAGGTGACTGGATGGGCGTGGCCAACAATAATAAATAATAAAAATAATAAAGTACAGAAAATAATAAGAGGTACCAAAAACCAACTTTCACACTTTACACACACACAGCACAACACAACTGACTCAGCTGCACTTCACCTAAAATGGCCCTGCAACAAGCAGGAACCTCACAGAGGCACAAAAAGCTCAAAAACCAACTTTCACACTTTTTCCACACAAAATGCCACATACAGCTTTGTGAGATTTTGTGTGTTTCTAATCTGCAAAAATATTTTATGTTATTATTTTATTTTATTTTATTTATATTTTTAGATAAAAGCAGCTAAATTTAAAACTTCCTTAACTTTAAATTGCTTTGTCTAAAAAAAAAATAAAACTCCTAAAAAAAAGCCCTAATTAATTATTTTTTTTAAATAATAACTTTACTTACCAAATTGAAAGCATAAGGCAGGCAGATTGAGTTGCTCACCGATTGGATTGATTGCAGGTAGGCAGATTCAGTTGCTCACTGATTGGATTGATTGCAGCAGCCAAAGCAAGGCAGGAAAAGCGAGCCCGAAAGAAGCAGCAAGCTGCCAAGTGGGCAAGTGGAGACCAGGTGATTGGGTGGGCATGTGCAGGGATTTTTGCTACTGGTTCTCCGAACTACCCGCTGCCATTGCTACTGATTGTCCGATCTGGTCCAAACCGGGAGCATTTCACCCCTGGGTGGTAGGTGGGGCGGAGGAGAACCGAGACGCATGGAGCGAAATGTGGCTCCCCTTATGTCTCTTCTCCCCTCTTCGCTGGGCATGACAGGGCTCCTGCCCCTTGCTTAGCCACCCGCCCCCTTTAGGGATGCAATTTGGGGGTGGCAGGTAGGGCAGGTGAGAAGCAAGATGTCTTACCTTTCCAGCTCTGTCATGTTCCTCGCCGTTGTGTCCAGGGAAACATGCTATAAAAGAAAACCTTCTCGCAAGTTCAATCAAACTTCTTGAACTCGCCAGAAGGTTTTCTTTTATAGCGTGTTTCTCTGGACACTACAACGAGGAAAGTGACGGAGCTTGAAAGGTAAGTCCTGCGCTCTGCTTCTCGCCCGCCCCACCTGCCACCCCCAAATTGCATCCCTAAAGGGGGTAGGTGGCTAAGTAAGGGGCAGGAGCCCTGTGGCAAGAGGAGCCACATCTCACTCCACATATCTTGCTTCTCCCCTGCCCCACCTTCCACCCCTCTCAGTAAAGAGACAGGGGGAAAGGAAACAGCCAGGCTGCTGTTGCCTTTGGGGTGGGGTGGGACGTGTTGGGCTGCTTAGCTGGCACAAAGAACAGGGAGTAGAGGACATGTCCCCCCCTTCGTCCCCGGCCTCGCCTCCTCAACTCATTTTGGTTGCACAGCAAGCAACCAAAGGTAATGGCGGGACTGGCTGTGCATGCGTGTAAATGTAAGTAGTTGATGGGGGGACTTATTTTGCGGGGGTGGCTTGATCCCGTCCCTTCAATTTTAATTTGTAATTGGTTTTAACCCGGGTTGTTTTAATTGGATAGCCAAATTATTTAATGTTTTTAAATTGCTTTTAAATTTTATATGTTATGTTTTACCATGGCTGTCCACCGCCCTGAGTCCTGTGGGAGAAGGGCGGTATACAAATAAATAAAATAATAAAATAAAATAAAATAAAATAAAATAAAATAAAATAAAATAAAATAAAATAAAATAAAATAAATAAAATAAAATAAAATAAAATAAATAAAATAAAATAAAATAAAATAAAATAATAAAATAAAATAAAATAAAATAAAATAAAATAAAATAATAAAATAAAATAAAATAAAATAAAATAAAATAAAATAAAATAAAATAATAAATAAAATAAAAATAAAATAAAATAAAATAAAATAAATAAAATAATAAATAAAATAAAATAAATAATAAAATAAAATAAAATAAAATAAAAAATAAAAATTAACGCATGCACTGAAAAGTCCAATTGGGCTTATTATCCTGACATGTCTTATTTTTGGGGGAAACACGGTATGTGGTATCTGAACAAACCCTCATAATCCATGGCTATTTGCAAATGTTAATCAGATAATTCATTCTTTGAAGCAACCTATAGCCTGCCAATATAAAAAAATAAGTTAGTTTCAACACCATATCTGATCATTAGTTGCATACATTGAAATGGTGATCTTTATAAAAAAATGGAATAAAACATTTTCTTATAAAGGAAAATTATTCTTTATAAATGAACTAAAAACTACTTATAAAGGTTTTGAATATTTGTAATCAATATATAATCTTATTTTTATTTATTTACATTTCCTATTTCTAAATTGCCCATCTCCCTCAGAGATTAAAAATAAACTCATTGAACTTGCAGTCATTTCTGATATCTTTCTCCCATTAATTCAAATCTGCATTTGAATTCCATTTACTAAAAAAAAAAGAGATTTTTCTTAATAAAATGGTTAGTGGGTGGGGAAAGTGGATTGAATCTCCATTCACTGCATATATAGTATATGAAATCGTAATAGCAAAAACATATAAGGAGAAAATGAGCAGAATAAGTCCATATAAACCAACAAAAGCTATTGCTTTTTTAATGAATGTTTAGGCTGGTGGGCCAGGAAGATGGCCTTCTCTGCCATTGCCCCCACTCTCTGACCTATCTTCTCCCTTCCCCAACATAAATCAGGCCCCCACTTTCCTGGCCTTTCAAAGAATGTTAACGATTTGGCTCTTCGATTCACATAAGGCTCCCAGATACCTTGATGGCCCTCCTGCTGCCTTTTAACTTTTAATTTATTCTAACCCTGTTTTTAATCTGTCTCTTTTTTATTGATGTCAAGTGTTTTTAATCTGGTTTTAGGCTTTCATGTTTTTACTGTACACCACCGAGAGTCACTCTGTGAGCAAGATGGGTAGTATTTAAAATTTGATAAATAAATAAATAAGATTTGTACTTGGCATGCCACCACTTGGACTGATGCTTCTTTTGTAAGAGCTAAACTTTCAAATAATTTTTTGGGATATCTGCATATATTATGAATTCTTTATCTTTCATTTCTTTTAGTGACCGCTATAAACATCTTCCTTTCAGTGGTATCATGTATTATTCACCCTATTGTCTTCAAGAGAACTGAAAAATAGTATCAAAATGAGACCAACTTACTATTTTTCATAGGAGATAATCAAACATTTAATTTGGTAACATGGAGATGTTCCTTCTTAACTGACTTCCTATTTTTTGAAACAGGCTACAGCTCCTGTGAACATTCCAGGTTCAGCCAAGTTCACTCCCAATGGAAAAAGCTTTAGCATCTCTTGGCAAACACCCCCAGTTACCTTCACTGGCCTTCCAGTAAGTAGAAAACCAGCAAATTAAGAGGGGGAGGTTTGTTTCCTACATAGGATGGCATGTGTGAGGCAAGATCCATACTTGCACTTTATGCAGGTAATGAATTTGTTTCTCCCTTGCCTGTCCCATTCCACTCATGGATGCATTGCAGCAGGCATGCATTATACAGTTCATGGGCTGCATGTGGGCCACCTCATGCAGCCCATTGGCATTTTAAAATAAATAAATAAATCACCACCCCATCTCCAAAAATATACTGTGAGTACCCCAAGCCTCTCTGCCACCAGCAGTTCCGCAGTACTGCTGCATCTCTAGCCCCCAAACTGCTGACTGGTGTGCTAGTCAGCTAGCTCCTTTGTGGCCTGCAGTGATTTTTGATGTATCAATGGGATCCTTTCCTCTTTACCCTTGTGTAAACCTGCATTACAGATTTCAGTAGAGGCATTTCAAGCATATTTTAAACAAAATAGCAATAGCACTTCAACTTATAGTATGCTCCACAGTGCTTTACAGCCCTCTCTAAGTGGTTTACAGAGTCAGCATATTGCCCCCAACAATCTGGGTCCTCATTTTACTGACCTTGGAAGGATGAGTCAACCTTGAGCCGGTCAGAATCAAACTGCTGGCAGTCGGCAGAATTAGCCTGCAAACCATTGTGCACCACTACTGCCATTTGAAAAGGCCTTCAAATGAATATGCTGTATATGTCATCTGCAAATCAGCTTGATGTTTGTTAATATACTATGCAGTGTCAAAAGGCCTTATGACAGTGCTTAATCCTATAGAGATAAGAGCACATTTTGGTCAAAATTAATTATGGATATTCTCCAATTCCATTGGGTTGCAGTGATACTGCATGACAGTTTTTCCTCTTTCCTTAACTTTCCTCACAGGGATGTTTTCATTGACTTACTATGATCTGTTATCCCATAATGCTGTTTAGTTGCTTATACCATCTTCCATATGCATAACATATCTTTAATTTCACCTAATATAATTAACTACTGTAAGTAAACAATATTTCATTTTTTATTCAAATAATTTTTCTAACTTTTGAATTATCATTATCAGAGCAGATATCATGTCTTATGTCTTAGCATTTTACCTAAGGCTATATGTTCCAAGTTTTCACAAATATGCAAGGCTGTTTAAAAACTCTGATTTTTGACAGGGTGAATTAGAAATTGATAAGGTACTGCCAGCTATTTCTCATTTCACAACGTGAATCACAAAAGCCTCTTATTGTCAACCTTTAGAATTTCTTGGAGGCTTTCTGTAGAATCTGGGCTCTCCTGCTGAGCTGATAAAAATGAAAGTAACTGAATCAATTACATTGCATTCTGCCAATGAATATTTATTAAATTTCATCAAGGAACAGCTAGCAGTGCAAGGCATCCTGCTGGTTGTAATTTGAACAAGAGACTCTTAACAGAACATGCTGTGCATGAAATACCCCAAAATTTGATTTCATGACAATATGGTAGAACTGGAGTAATTTTAAAAGGGGGGGTTGCTCTCTGTGGCACTGGGATAAATTGACACTAGTATTGCAAGAAAGCCAAAAGTCTCATTATCACAAAATAGGTAGATTAGTTTTCCTAAACTTGTGCTATCTGGATATGTTGATACTACAACTCCCATTGTTCTCAGTCAACATGGGCAACCAATATGCTGCCTATAGCTTCTGGGAATTATAATTTCACTATAGGCTATAGGTAGTTATATAGATATTAAGAATTGAGTATGAATTCACAAAGATTCATTATCCCCACACAGTTGGGAACACAACTGTTATATATCATAAGGTAATTATTTGGTTATAATCTCTTCTTCCTAGTTCAGTTCTGACCTCTGGCCTCCAAGGCTACCTTCAAAATCACAGAGAGCTATAACTTGAAGACTTGAAGGAGCTATTAGAAATATCACTGTTTAGAGCATTTTTCAGTTTCACTGCTGTTTTCTCGACAAATGTATGTATAAGCAGTTCAGAAGCTAACAAATAGCTATAGTGAGAACAAAACTCTATTATTAGTCTCATTCCAAAGAGCCCTTTTGCTGATTTTGCCAGTAGCAGCTGTTGACCTTTTTTTCTATACTATTTTATATAGTTTGTGCTAAAATTAGTTATTCTGATGTTGCCATCATTCACTGCATAAACTAATGAGATGGCAGGAACGTGTAAAGTATTGATGAACCCGTTGAAGCTCTTCTCTGAGCAAGCTCATTAACTGTCTATCACCTCAGTAGCAGCAGCACTTTTTGTATTATATTGAATATTTTGCCCTTCTTACCCCACAAATGAGAATATGCTAGGTAAAAACGAGTGCCAGAGATACAAGTACAAAATCAGATATCCACTTAAGCTATCCATGCCAAAACATAAGAGCGAACAAAGGATTAAATGAGAGAACATAATCATATAAAATTTTGTAAACCAGGAAGATTTTCCAGGAGAGTATTATATTACCTGATTTGTTTAATGTGGTGAGCTGTACTGTACATATTCCCATGTGAGCACATTCTTAAATAATTACAATTCTTTTTCAAATTAAACCAGATCAACATACCTGAAGCTTCATGAGATTTCATGGGACAACTTGGAGGGATTATAGCCATTCCTGTTTTTTTCCCTACAAAATGAAATGTGGAAAATTATGTAAAGGGACCTGAGACTTTGTCTGTCAATCAGCAACTTAATGCTATGACTTCCTCCAGTCTATGCCCCTTCTCTCCTGGTCACATGACCCCAAAAAGTGCACTCCTCCTTTCCCACGGCACATATACATAGTCACACAGATGCAACAAGAGGGAACCCAAAAAATACAAACACAGACAAAACACCTGTGCATCAGTGTGATTAGATCCTTATACCAAGGGTGAAATCTAGCAGGTTCTGACGGGTTCTGGAGAACCGGTAGCAGAAATTTTGAGTAGTTCAGAGAACCAGTAGCGGAAATTTTGAGTAATTTGGAAAACTGGCAAATACCACTTCTGGCTGGCCCCAGAGTGGGGTGGGAATTGAGATTTTGCAGTATCCTTTCCCTGTCACGCCCACCAAGCCACGTCCACAGAACCAGTAGTAAAAAAAGTTGCATTTCACCACTGCCTCATACACAATATATGTATTGTGGCCTTGCCCCTGGGGTGAAAGTACATACATATGCATAATATGCAACATGCTGCTTCATTACCTACATATCCTTCTTCCTTGAAAGAGGAGATCGCTTCCTCCTAACTGACATATCACCAGATGCCTCTAGAAATGTTGCAAATTTTGTTATAGCTGTTTATAGCTATTTAAAATTTTGATGACTTTATTGATTTGGTTCACATGCACATTTTATTGCTCTCTGATTATTTTACTATGATTTTTTTTTCCTTTTCCTTATGGTCCTTTGATCTTTGTACAAAAGAAAATACAGATATTTCCCATATCCCCTGCTGGTAAAAGGGTTGGAAAGAATTCCAGAAACTATGGTCTGCATAGTTAATTTAATTTCAACCTTAATTTTAAATCAAAATTGAGGGAGGAATCTATTCCAAGCAGACTCTTTAAGAGGGAAAATAAAGCCAATTTGAGTACTAAGTAGTTATTTACTGGCACAGAATATAACATTTTCTTTCTTGGATGCTTTTGAAAATGGTCCATAAGTAAATGTTTGCAAGCCTAGGCAGGGAATAGTGTGATATATTTAGTCATGAATTCTGGCAAATTTCGTTGGTTCATTTAAGCCCTTCTTGTAATTGAAAACTTTCCCTGATATCTGGAGCAGATAATCAGCAAGAATGACAACTTGTCCGCAAGAGTATTGTATGCTTAGAATACTCCAAATCATTTTTCTTTCATATCTCTGCCCTGCATTATTGAGATGGAGCCCACCTTTGAGTCTTGTAATATGTCCTCCATTGTGAGAAAGTCAATGAAATTAAGGTGATGAATCCACAGATTAAACCCAATACAAGATAATTTAGTTTTATTACCCATATTGTACCTTTTAATTCTGCAATTAGAACTCCATCTTTGTTTCTCTTGCTAGCTTTCACCAACTCACACACGGCATGTGGGGATCGGAGAACAAAAGCACCAGATCCACGCTGTTCTTTCATCACCACCTAGAGCGTCAGTTGGCCTCAGGTAGGAGGCTTTTTACATCGGAATGAAGTGAATTAATTAATGAGTGGAGGGTTTCTGTGACCAACCTGTTTTTTTAATCTGAATTTCTTTTCAAAATAAATGCAGATGAATTATTTTTAACAATGCGATTTATCCTCAAGTGGCAATTACTTTTTTTCAGTTCATCACAAAATAAGCCACATTCAATCTCTTTTAAAATTAAAGAAGAAAAATTAGTAAGGGCGAACTAGGAAATAGAGATAGAAAGAGGAAGAAAAAAATCAGAGAAATATATAGTATAAGTGTTTTGTGAAGTTTGGAAGAGGCTATAGGAGTGCAGATAAAAAAGGAATAGAAAAATACCATATTAAAAGAGTGGCATTTTCATGTCAAAATATTGCAGAAAAGAATGTTTTATTTGTAAAAGCATTTGTAAACTTTATAGAAATATTATTCTAAAGATATAACAGGTTTATAGTACTCTGTCTTCTTATTACATATTTTATTACCACCTAGCAGAAAATTATAATTTTCCCTCAAAATTTTTCCATACCTTGAAGGATGTTTTCATTGTGTCCTCTTGCATATTTTTCCTATCTATTTTTCATTCAATGAGTGGTGTGGTGACCTAGAGGTGGAGCTCTCACCTCACAATCAGGAGGCTGTGAGTTCGATCCAAGGTAGAGGCAGATATTTCTCTCTCTGGCAACATTGAGAATATATCTGCTGAATACAACTCCGCATTAGCGACAGGAAGGGCATCTGGCCAGTAAACACTCAGCTCTATTCAGTTGCCCAGACTCCACCTCACAAAGAATTATGGGGTCATTAAAAGAAGATGATGATTTTTCATTCAATATTTGTAAACTTTGGTCTCCAGAATAATCCAAAGAATATAAGGAATTCCACAGTTCAACCCTGAACTATATAGTTTCTCTCCTATTGGGATTTTAACCTTATTATACCATAAAAACCTATGCCAATGAAACTTCAAATTATGATCTTCTAACATTCTTTTATTTCTCAGCAAGACTTATTCTTTTACAAAAAACAAATAACAGCCTGAAAATTATAGTTTAAAACAGGATAATCCTAGCCCTCCTCTGTCTTTGTATCCTGCAGAATTTTATATTTAACCATTGGTTACTTATCTCTGCCGTACAAATGGCTATTACATATTTTTGCCTTTGTTTAAAAGGCGCATCATTTTTCACAACTGATATTATTTGAAATAAAACACCATTGTAGGTAATATAGTCATTTTTATCACAGAAAATTGCAATTTTTCCTATCTTGCATATCTTAACATAATTATTCTGAAATAACATACAGCAGATTTTTATTGGTAGGAGTATATCTAGATGTTTTACCTTTTATTCATATCTGAAAACTAGTTTTTCCAAGCAGTTCTTTTTGATCTTTCCCATATTGTTTGTTAAAACAGGCTCCGACTCAACCCTTCCAAGACGGAGTGGCTGTGGCTTTCGGCGTCCCGATATAGCCAGCTGGTGCCATCGCTGGTTATTGGGGGCGAATCACTGGCCCCCACGGAGAGGGCTCGCAACTTGGGCGTCCTCCTGGATGCACGGCTGTCTTTAGAAGAGCATATGACGGCCGTGGCCAGGGGGGCTTTTTATCAGGTCCACCTGATACGCCAGTTGCATCCCTTTCTGGATCGGGACTCCCTACACACGGTCACTCAGGCACTCGTCACTTCCTACCTGGACTACTGCAATGGACTACATGGGGGTGGACCCGGAGGCTCCAGTTGGTCCAGAATGTGGCCGCGCGGGGTATTATTGGAGCGACTGGGCACTCCCATGTGACACCTCTCCTGTGCGAGCTGCACTGGCTTCCAGTGGTCTTCTGGGTGCGCTTCAAGGTGTTGGTGACCACCTTTAAAGCGCTCCATGGCTTAGGGCCGGGGTATCCAAGAGACCGCCTTCTGCCGCCAACAGCCTCCCACCGGCCAGTTCGCTCACATAGGGAGGGCCTCCTTAGGGTGCCGTCGGCCAGACAATGTCGGCTGGCGACCCCCAGGGGGAGAGCCTTCTCTGTGGTGGCGCCTGCCCTCTGGAACGACCTATCCCCAGAGATACGCACGACACCAGACCACCGGACTTTTTGTCGGGCCCTGAAAACTCATCTATTTCATCTAGCCGGGCTGGCTTGATCCCATCCTTTCTGTTTTAATGTGAAATTGGTTTTAACTGGGTTATTTTAAATTGAGGGCCGAAATTTTCTGTCTCTATTAAGAACTTCCAAAGTCAAAATAAGCTCCAATGGTGCCAGTAATCTTCTCTTGTCCCTTTTTGAATCTCACAGGCATTAGTATATACTATATCAATTTTATCCATTTAATAAAATTAACCTTCAAAATCCATTTTTCCAACATTTTAAATTAAAATAAAACAGGGTTAAATTGTTAATTGCTTTCTCTGCATCAACAAATGTGAGTGTGGCTGATTTTCCATTATGTTGTTTCAAATATTCTAGTACAGTACATCAAGAATATTTCTTATATTATTTTTCAACTGTCTTTTAAGCAGAAAGTCACATTAATCTTCATGTATGAAGTCCTGCAAAATATCTTTAATTTTTTTCAGCTAGAAACATTGCAAATATTTTGTAGTCATTCTTTAGCAAAAAAAGATGAATGACAATATTTTATTTTTTTGTAAAGTAGGAACGTGTGCTTTTTTAAAGAAGTATTTGCTCCTATCCAATATCAATCCCTTTTCCAAAATAGAGTTCATCATTTTTTGCAAAGATTGTAATCACTTCAATGCTGTTTTATAAAGTGCACCTGTTTTGTTCTTTTTTTATTGCTTCTCTTATTAGTAAAAGTCAATTCATTATCTGCTACCACTGTTCACATTTACAACAGGAGTAAAGAGTTTACTGTTCTGCTTGCCCTTTTATAGTTACTGATAATTTTATTAAAAGTAATATTATTTGAGCTGCTGTTTTACGTCTTTTTATGTATCTGTATGTGTGTGTGTTTATGTGTGTGTATATGTGTGTACAATCTTCAACCTCATCGTTTTACCTTAATAACAGTTTTTCTTTCAACTTTCTGGCAGAAAACCTAGAGGAGAGGGCAAGAAATGTCGCAAAGTGTATGGGATGGAGAATAGAGATATGTGGTGTACAGCTTGTCGTTGGAAGAAGGCCTGCCAAAGGTTTATTGATTGAAGCCCAGAAACAATACGGAGTTGTGTATAATAGGGTTCCCTTGCTGCAACCGTGTAGTGTGACTCTTCCCACCTCCTTGAGCGCTGACATCTGTTGAAGACTGGCACTCTAAAGCAAATATATTCATTTCAAGAGAAAGGACTTCTCAAAAACCTATACGCAGCAATATAGGAAAAACTTAAAAATCTTTATCAAGTTTTGAATCAGGAGCAGCTATATGCATCTTTCTTTAAAAGAACAGGACAAAATCTGTTTTTAATACCTTGAACAACTCGCCTATCAGGACATTTGTCTTACATACTACATCATGATCAGTATTTCACCTTTGGAATCACTTAAAACCAAGATTGAGTGATGCTACTTTTCTTAGAATGAAGTAAATAAAACACAAATACACGCGTGCATACACAAGACACACTAAACTTTAGAAATAAGCTACATTTTTCTCAAGAGCAGCTCTCCCAAAAGTGGTAAATAATTCTGTTGTGAACAGTCTTGATTCAGCGTCTGGTGCTTGTCCTTTAAGGATAATGGAAAGATGCTTTGCTAAAGGGGCAAGAAATTTAAGAGTGATCTCAAACTCAGACCTGAAGGTTGAGCACCTCTTGTATCTGTCCCAAAGAAGGCTAGTTGGGGTACAATCACCAGCAGTCCTACGCAAAAAACAAAACAAAAAAACCCACACACGGGAAAGAAGTCTGATTTTAAATGAACTTGGATTGAAATCAGCATACATACCAACAAAGTTTGGGTTCCAGGATATCTTCTTAGATGCAAGTACTGGAAAATGTTGTACATCTCACAGTGCTAAAGGCTTTGCTCAGACTAATGGGCAGCCCAGTGGACTTCATCAACATTAATTCAGGGATGTGATCGACCCAGCAGCTTTTCCCCTGCTTTTTACGCCATTTCTAGGTTAACATTTTAGTTCAAAGAGCAAATTAACACTTCAGGGGATAGAAACTAGAAGGACAAACTGGTTTCCCACTTCCCCGACATGTAAAATATGAGTGCAGCAAAGCAGATGTCTGTATGTAAAAAATCCCATTGATTATAAAGTTCTATCAATATCAAAAATAAAAGCCTTCACGATGGCTTGCACTTTCATAGGTTTCTGTGCTTTAGTGTAATTTAAACTTCATTTGGCCCATGACATAGACATAGTTATGGTGTAAATTGAACTAATGCTTGAGAATCAGTAGAAAGTTTGGACATAGGTTACTGGAAATAATGTCTACAGATTGCCTATTAAAATAAAGGAATTCCTATAAGAGCACTACCACATATTAATATAAATACGGCTTGTGCTCAAGACTTTCCTGGTGGATTTTGTCCTTTGATATTAACTCCAGTGGGATGAGATAGGTATCCCAAGTTGGGAAAACAAGAGCAAGATTGGGAGCCCTTGATGCTGTTGTATGATGACAAGTCAGAAATAAATTTTATTGGGGAAGGGGGGTAGAGGAACCGCTGATGGATTATATTATAAATCACTATTATCTAGAGTGTCTACCTATAATAAATATAAAAAAGCACAAATTTTAATTAAAACACAGAATATTAAGCTAGGGATGACTCTTATATAAACTTCAGAACAATTAAGTTAGCTTTGATGCTATGATAATATTAAAATAATTCAGGTAGGCCTGGAACTGTCTTCCAAAATAAGGCTATCTGGTTGAAAACACTTCTACTGTACTGATAAAAGGCTTCTTGTACTAAGCATTTTCATCAGATACTCATCCAGTTTTCTCATCTTCAAAAAGCGCAATTTTATAGCATGTTATTCCGCTCATAACTAGCAGAGAATAGGAAATTTCTTTCTTGAGATTTGGTAGGAAAGTAAGAAAAAGGAATGAAATCAACACATTATTTTTTTCCTTTATAGGTGGTCTTTAACTGTACAGCTTAACTATCATAAGATTTAGGAAAATCTGAAGTTTTATGTGCTTATCTATTTATTTAACAGAAAATTGTATTTGTCAGGGATTTCTTTAGATCATAGTATTTACAGGCAGCTGACAACTAACTTTGAAAGTATATCATATAATAATCACATCTGCATTCTAACTTGAATGTGTTATTTTGCAGTCTTATAATTGTGTTGAAATATATCTCTGGCTACATGCATGGTCTGTCCAAAATTCACTGATAAATTGTTCTGACCTGCTGCTTTATGGTCAATATATATCCTGGAGGAAATACTAAGTATGGCTTTATGTATTTTTTCCTAATTTCACATACAGAAAAGTAATAGAGTTTATATTTTCTGGCATTCCTGTTTAATTGATATGATAAATGATAAATGATAAATGATAGGGCTACAGGCAGAAAGCACAGAAGATTTCCACTGTAGTCAAAATTAGGCTAAGTAGACTAATGGTTTGAGCTAACCAGACAGCTTAATAAAATTAAGCTAACATTCTTGATATAGAAAAAACAAACTCAAAATCACCTGGGAAGCTAGAGTGCTATAACAAATTACTAATTTTTTCATACATTGAAAGTATGTGTGCATTTACTTTAACAAAAGTTCAGGCTGATTTTCTTTCATTGGGGTTTATTTGCATCTATTAGTTTGGTATTTCTTTTCACAGGATGTATGCCATACAATTTTTAAAAAATTATAACTTAATTGAATCAGCTGTTGGTGTAAATTGTGATCACGTGCCCTAGAGATACCAAGACATAAGTGGAAAAATTATTCTAAGATGTATGGGTTGGTTATTGTTGGAAATAAGTGATTTATTACATATGTATTCAAATTGAGATAGAGATTATAATATATGCCAAATAATATTGGTAAATTTATTATTCGTACTTTATGTTATGTTCTCAAATCAAAAGTAAATACATGCTATTATAATCAGACTCCGCATTCACAGGAATTTTAAACTTAGTCATTCAGTATTTTTATTGCACATTTTTCTAATTAACTGCACTCTTGAGGGCTAGAAATTTTTAAAGATTGAAAAATAATCATAGGATAATAACTGTTTGCCAAATATTGTTCATCTCTGTGCAATATAGCCTTTGTAAGTTCATTTATTGCTTATTCCTAGCTTCAATTTTTGGCTTTGCAGACTTTCACTGCATATGTTCAACTTCGACAGTGAAAACATTTTTATCTTTATAGAGATATTTGAACAACTTTTTCCCATAGTTAGATTAAAGGCAACTGACCTAAGATAGGATTTGCTTGTTTATACTTTAAATGAAATTACTGCCAGATAGTTCTGTTGTATCTGTACTATAAAGAGACAAACATAATTTGGCAATAGAACTGCTGGAATTTGCCTTGTTCTACTTAATAAGTGTTCTTCATAACATTGATTGCAACATAATAAATTCTTTTTATTGCTGGAGAATTTCAATAGGGCTTTAAACTTACCAAAAGACCCAGGAAATAAGTGCTAACCAGAACTGTAGCTTAGAATTAGAGACATAGTAAACTAGGAGGTTACACTTAGCTTTTCATAAGACCTTTTTTTTAATTGTTGCTTACTTAAATATTCTTTCATCATTATTTATAAGATATCACTGAGGTTTTGAGAAATCTAAAATGTTTTCCCAACTCTCCCTGATGCTTTTCTTAACATGTATGCATAGATATTTTAAAACTCTTATCAGAGGTAATATTTTGAGATCATTATTAGCCTGAATTGACTAACAATGATGTTGTATAGCAGCTTCAGAGTGAGGGCAGAAAATATTATCTCTGACTGCTTGTTAGAAAAGAGTTAATAAATCCCCAACCTTTGCTCAGGACTAAATTGAAAAACTCTCACCATGACTATTTTGACATTTGAATATTGTTGTCAAACCTCTTATGTCCAATCCAAGACTTCTTTCTGGTGAGTCAAAATAATTTTGAACAGATGTTAATACATGAGTTTTATGTATAAATAATTATCATGTTAGAATCAAACATGAAAAGCTGCCATTTTTTTTCTTTTATTTAGGTTTGTGTGTTCAGATAAACCTGTTTAGATTGTGCCCAGTGTGATTCGATTATCATCTGTTTGCATCATTATTTTAATTGACCTTCCAATCAAAGGAATATACTATATACAACATGCTTGGACAGCTCCCTCTAGCTTTTGATTATTTATTTTTCTGAATTTCAAAATTTGTTTCCCCTGATTCAAGATTTAGCTAAAATAAATGTCAATCACCTTTGCCTCTATAAATTCACTTAAGATGAAAGACTAAGAATTTTTGTCAGTATGTTTAACTGTAAAAACCAAGAACAATAAGAAATTAAGTCTCATATTAGGTATATTTTGTGGTAATCAAAGGAATGAGGACATTTCTGACATTTCAAAACTTTATTTTCTTTATTTTAAAAAATCTACAATATGAATTTTTTAAATGATTTAAATATTGTACAGTCTGGATTTTGTTTCCAATGGGGCAGATACATGGTTCTGGAAGAATAAATAAGCATTCCATTATAGTTACTGCTGCCTTCAGTTTGTCTCAAGCAATGTAGGAAAACATCTGTTTGCGCAAGAGTTTAGGTCCTGACTGTTAGGGAAATGGAAATAGGGTCTATTAATTATATGCAGTTTACTGGTGGACAAATGCCATTGGGTTTCACCCTCTATTTCCTCTGAGAGGAAAAATGTAGAGTATAGTGATATAGATTTACTAAACAGATTGGTAAACAGAGAGAGATTGTATTTTTTGACCAAAGTTATTCAATAAAATTAAAGAGGAATGCTCACTTGAGATTGGTTAAATTGGACTTTAGCGTATCATAATCTTACATATTTGGAAATATTAGAGGAATTTGTAGCCAGTGTAAGAACTGAAATTCAGTAGGACATAATCTATTGCTGCTGAATACTTATTAGCATAAAATAATGGGAATTAAATTTTAGAAACACCTTTCTGTTTTGAAGCAAGTACAGTGACATTTTATGTCACTATCTGTGACACAATTACTGCCCAATAAATTATTTATCAAATGAATGCTACTTATAGATTAAAATCTTTGGACCTAACCAGGTTAGTCAATTATATCCTTTGACCACATTCTTACCTAGAAATAAGATGTTCCGAGGCTTCTGAAATTTAATATGATGCATCCAATATGGCAAAGTGTTGTGTGAGAAATAGGCCTCTGTGACTCAAACTGTGGTTTAAAAACTCCTGGATTAATAGAGACAGATAAATGGGATGCTCAGATATCCTTTGACTGTCCTCTTCAGAGTTCAGTCAGTCCTGGCCATATTAGGACATTCCTGACCTTCAGCTCTATTATGGTAACCGATTTCGAGACATTAGGGGGGAAGATTGCAGCCTGTGTAATCTTCATTAGTGTTTCTTATCCTGCAAAACAAACATTGTAATTGTATTTCCAAGGTGTTTTCTTTGAGTTAGTGGAATAACTAGATTCATGTCCATGATTATTATTGAGATCACAAAGTATAGAATTAAAAACATAATTGGAATCTAATGTAGCTACACAACCATACATGAAGAAATTTTCTGAGATAAAAAGATTCCAATTCTGAATTTGAGAATACTTTTTATAATAAGTTTTTTATACACTTAAACCTCAAGGCCACTGTATTTTATATGACTCTTTTTCTGAGCAAAACTCAGATCTTTTGTGAGCTGCTTTCAGCAAATGAATATTGAAGTCTTTCCAAAGGTCGAAAAAGAAGGATGTTTCTGTATTCATGTAGTCCTCAAATTATGATCACAATTGGAACCAGAATTTCATTCTTAAGCAAGGCAGGTTTATGTGAGTTGTGCCTGATTTTATGACCCTTTTTGTCCCAGTTAACGAATCACTGCAGTTGCTAAGTGAATCATGTGGTTATTAAGTGAATCCAACTTTCCCCAATGATTTTGTTTCTTGGAAGTTGGCTGGGAAGGTTGCAAGCAGCAACCCCCTGGTCCCAGGATGCACAACTATAGTAAATACATGCTGGTTGCCAATCACTTGTATTTTCATCCCATGGTTGTGGAGATGCTGCAACAAGTGTGAGTGTGAGGATTGGTTGTGTCACTTTATTCAGTGTTGTTGTGACTTTGAACAGTCACTAAACAAATGGTTGTAAGTCAAGGACTACCTGTATTCCAAAAGAGTGTTTTGAAGATCCTGGAGTACCCTGGTGTGCATATCAATAATGATCCTCAAGATGATGAAATGGCAGTTGTTTTTTTTCCATCTTTCCATGCTGTGTGCATTCTGCAACCTGCCATCTACATTTAGCTGGTGCTTCAGCATTGTTAGATTGCAGACTTATCTTCCAAAAACCAAATTTTATTGGCAGACAAATTAAGGGATTATGGATTTATGAATAAAGAAATAACTTCTTATCTATTACGCTCAGATTCAGCCAAACATTTCCTTGTGTTTATCTTTAATTGGGTCTTCTTAGTTAACAATGAGTTCAACCAATTACACTATAAGAGTATTAGAATGCGCAAATTGCACTTCTAATCTTTCTGGATTTATATTGCATGACAATCTGGATTGTTTTAGATGTCACACCATGCCCTCTAGACACAAAATACTATTTTTCTCCGTCAGTTAAAATATAAAATAAGCAATTTAGACAAGCCAAGAATAATACTTTGAGTTGACTTTTTAAATAAAATATTTAAACTTAGTCTAATTGATTAGATGTTTTAGTTGCTTTAATTTATGACTGTTGAAGATTTTAATATTTAGAATATGCAGTAGTTTAGTCAAAAGGAAAAAGAGACAATTGCCTTATTGAATGGTGCAATATTGGTTTTTACTCAAAAAAGGGCTAACTTTTTGAAATAGAATTTAAGCTACTGTGAAGAATATTAATTCAGTGTGTATTAGAAAGTCTGCATAGACTAGAACATTTATGATTTTAAATCAGTGTAATAAACTTTCCAAAATATAGTCTTTCCTAAAAGATGTGACTAACTTTTGAATATAAATACAATTTGCAAACCTTTTTTCAAGACAGAGTTTTACTTTCAAATTTTAATTAATTTCCAGCAAATTTTTCTTGAATGTGCATATGACACAAAAGGAAATTTGCTAGAAACTGTATTATTGTTAAAATAGGCAGATATTCTTATACTATTTGTTAAAAAATGCTTTTGGTCCAATTCTGCTGTTTAGGCAATGTGAAATTAGTTTAAACTTTCCTTTATTTTTTTCTAAATGTACATCATAAAATGAATCTTATACCTAGGAAATCATTGTTATACTTTAATCATCACAGTGAATTAATCTCAATTTGGTACCTGACATCTGGATTTTTCTCTATTTTCCTGAAGAAAGAAACAACAAAACAGTCTTTGTCTACAAAACCCATAAATTAACTAAAGATTATAGGACTTTAGGTTTTTTAAAAAAATTTAACCATGATTATTCTCTGGAAATCAAATACCCTTCAAATGTTTTGGAGCAACTTCCATCATTTCCAAACAGTTTGGTCAATGTTAATTGCTTGTACCTATGATAGATATTTCTTTAAATTATCAAATAACAAGATATTTGGCTTCAATTTTGGATTCCCATTGTAAACTATGATTATGCTGCTTCTTTGTAGCCCTTAAGCACTTTCAGTGTATATATTCATAAACTTTGAGCTGTGAAATTAAAATGTTCTGTGGTGTGATGAAGATGGCAGAACTTTAAGTAGGCTACTAGTCTGGCAGTGATGAAATACAAAATTTAGTGTTCCTGTAAGAGATTAAAAAATCCTATGAACTAGCAAAGCATAACTGCACATAGTGTTAATTTGCAGATGATAGCAAAAAGTGGCAAACTAATTTCCTGCCCTCTCCTATGTCTTCTATTAAAAGTATTTTTATGTTATTTTATGTTATAGTTTGGTATACTATTATAATCTAAAATGTATTGAGTCATCACATTTCTTTCTTCTATTCACTATCCTTTAGGCCAAAATTAGTCCAGGATTTAATTCGGTTTGTAGTTTATCTGTATGAGTACAGTAAATTGGTGAATAATTGTAATGAAGGACAATATCAAAATGTTATTTCTTGAAATGGTTTCTCTGAGATATTTGTATATAAGAGAATGTGTCCTCAGATCAAGTTAGTTTCAATAGTAGCACCAGTCAACCTTGTGGAACTTAGTAGACATAGATGATCATGTTATTAGCCGCTTCCATGGGATTTAGAAAGGGAAGAATGTGTTTTTATCCAAACGGCAACATTTTTTTACTAAAACCATCTTTGTTAGTGTTTAATGTGTATCTGTCTGGAACTAGCATGAGCAAGAATTATTATTAGATCTTATTACATACATACAACAAATCATGATGTTTTACATTAAGTTTCAGTAACTATGTGTTTTTCCCGGCCAAAGATCAGTTGGCATGATGGGGTGTTATTTTTAATAAAAGAGGTAGGGTCAAAACGAATATGTCAGCAGGTCAAATTAAAAATTAAATTCTCCATGATTTAAATTTATATTGAAATTTAGTTTTATTTAATATAGATCAAATTATTTAATTGTTTAAATAAAGTCCACATTATCACTTCTTATATGTATTTTATAATTTTCCCTGTCTATGTAGCCTACTTTGGAAGGACTTCTCTAAGCTACATCCCACTTCATAGAAGTTTGTGAAACCAGGAAGGAGTTATTGGATCATAATGGCTTCATTTCACTTCATTCTTGACTAGTTTTAAATTAATGGTCTTTATTATATACAAAATGGGGAACTTTGGGTGGATGATTGTTATTCTTTGCTAGTGTTAAAACTCACCTCCCAGGGTTATTGCTGTGGGGAAGATTGAAGCAGGAAGGAATATTAGGTATATTTGTTGCCTTGAGTTATTTATAAAAATAATTCACATCACCTGACCCAAGTTCAGTTGCTTTTTTGTTTTTGAAAGACATAGCAGATTCATAAACATGGACCAAGGTTGGACCAAGGTTGAACCCAGAGGTATCTGCAAAGTGATCAAAGGATTATAGATGATGAAAGCTTTATGGCACTGTTGAAATTTAAGCTTGGCTTCTTCTGTACTTACATTTTGACCTTCAATGTACATTTGAAAAGGGCAAAGCTTATGTTGCAAGACTGCTATGCTGCTTTTATCCATTTGTTGAAAAAATTGCATTCTGCAGATACATATGGTTGAGTCTCTGACAAGATCAATGGACCATATAGATGGTGTTAAATAGAATAGAAAAAATAATTCTCTATGTGGAAGACTAATTCTGTTCATATATGTTCTCTATGTTTCATTCATGGCTTGCTTTACTTGTTTGCAAAAGTTTTGATAACTTTATGAAATTAGAACCTAATTTTTGTTGAAAACCCTGCATTCTAATGTAGAGGTTTATGTCAATGTCAGATCTATCCGATATTTGTAAAATCTTTCCTACCAAAACTGCTGTTTATTTAAAACTGACACAGTGTTAATGAATATTACAGAGGTACCTGGGGCACCTACAGAGAAGTCAAAAAAGTCACAATGGTGACAGTGCAAAATATTGCCCCTTTTTCACATATGTGACACACATGAAAAGGGTAGAGCACAGAGTCATGCCTAACAGACTCAGCAAAAATCCCACATAAATTGGTTTGAGGATCTTATGTTAATTATTACATTCTGAAAACAGAAGCACTTATTTCAACATATTAGACTAAGACGTTAACTGTAGCCAATATGATTCAGTTACTATTTAAATCTGCAAATATTTCAAAATGCAGTTCTACAAATATGTATTACATAGTAAGTATTGGATTTTGTGAATGAATGTATCTGCAACTGCACCTCACATATTTTCATTTTTTACATGCTTGTTTTGTACCAGCTTGCATTTTTCTAAGAATCTATTTAAGGAGATACTTACTCAAAGTTAGCTTCCAAGCAGAAAAGGCCTAGGTGTGGGATTTTGTTTTTAGATAAATTAAAAACAACTAAGGATAATTACTAAATACATACCAGTATATGTGCAATTTGCTTTAAGTCCCACTGTTTATGATAGGAGACTAACAAAACGTTTCCACTGCTTTCTATCCTTGCTGTTTCACCATAGCTAGCATACTAGGCAGTTCTATATTTTATCCGTTCTTCCCACCGACTCTAATAGAATGCATTTAAATTTGGAAATTCCTAGGCAAGTATTGGACTATTTTTTGTGGATGTACTTGAGGCTCTGGATGGGGAGATATACAGCCATTTGCATTACCGCTGGTATTCCTTAGACTCCTTTAGTCAGGAACTGCCAGGAGAAAATCTGAATTGGCAGCCTGTTCCAGCCTAGTCTCAGAGGACCCTCTAAGAGAATATCTTGCAGAGATTTGGCGCTCTTGAGGCAGATTAGCCTGCCTCCCAGGAGGCATGGATTGGTTTCTTTACCTATATGCTGAAATCATTCCTCTAAAAACCAGGCACTCTATATTTTGGTTGGATTTTATCTAATATTTGTAATGAATCGTCAGCTGCTTAAGTGCATCCAATTGCAAAGGCTGTCAAACTGAAAGTGATTATGAAACTTCAACTCTCTGAGCTATTCCTTAAACTCAGTCAAATTAAACTTTTCAAATGCCTCAAGCCAATTGATTTATAGTCAATGCCTTCTATCTAGATAAGCCTGAGAGTTGAAATGCAATCATTTGAAGAGTGGAGCCTGGAGATAATGATTTTCCTGATGTAATTATTTTTCGATTAAGCAACAATCCTACCGTGCTGCTTTATTTTATATACAATTATCTAATATTTTGTTAACCTGATTTCTGAGAAATGCTCTTTAAGAAACCTAGGAACTGTCCAACACAGGAAGAAACCTCTCTCACTCTACTATTACTCTAATTCCACATCATAATTCATTTGTTTCTGATGGTTGAGAGGAATCTCATTGCACATAATGCTGTTGAAGGGCTGGGTGTTGAGATAGCATACAGACATCCCCATCACTAGAGGGCTCTTTCATAATATATTTTACCCCTGTTCCAGGGGAGTGATTTCTAGGTTGGCCTCGAATTAGATTCAAGCCTACCTCGAAGCAAAGACTGGAAGTGATTAAGTAATATTAAGTAAAAAAATCTTGGGATAACAGCAGCCTACCTCCAGTACGACATGAGGACAGATGGCAACTACTCTCAGTATGAATGCTGCAAACTTGTGGTATGTTTCAAAGCTTGCAAGGCTGTGTCATATCTTTGGGGTTTCCCTTTCATTGGAATCAGTGGAACTCCATCCAAAGAATAGAAGGAAAGTGAGTTATCTTTCAGGAGAGTTTCTTTTCTTATCTGTTTAATATGGAAAAATTCACTTTATAAATATTTGAAAGAGAGCTTCCAACTTTGGCACTAATGGAAATACTGGATACTTTTCATATATATTTAGAAGGTTATTTGAAAAAGAAATGTTCTGTCTTTTTTATATAATTTTTAATCAAATACAGATATTCTGATTACTATGTCTTGGTTTCCTATCAGGCTGTACATGCAAAAATAAAACTAGTTCAGGTCTCAGAATCTCGAGTTGGGGGTGGGGGAACCAACCGTTTGAAGTGCTTTGCCAGCTTTTGGTATATTGTGCATTTTGTGTGTGTATATATAATATATGTAAATTATAAATAGATATATAAATAGATTCATATGGTTAAATGTTTAGTGTTTTTTCACTGTTCTCCAAGGAAATAAAGGTGTTTTGTATTGCTTTATGAACTGATTTAAAAGACTTCATGGGATAACTAAAATATTTTACAGCTATTTCAGCCCAGAAATGGGTAGTTCTGCTCTGATGTAAATCTCACGATTGTTTTTGAAAGCAGAATTTTAGGTTTTAAGCTGGCCCTACTGAATAGTACCAGGTAAAATGCACTTTCTCGTGGCATGCAGTCTATTTTCTCTGAATGAGCTTTCCAAACTAGAGACCACAACACGTTTACATTTGTGTGTGTGTGTCCTGTTTTCTTCCCTGCCTAACAAGAGTTGCAGAACTTGAAATCTTTAATCTTTTGGGCGAAGAGGATGGAAAGAAAAATAATATGCTACTGAAGTAATAGGACATAAGATCTATCATTAGGAATAGATTATTAGTCCATCTGTTAAAATCCATTGTAGTGATAGTCTCGGTAAGTGAGCTGTACTTTGTAATTCTTGGCTGTGACAAATATGCCTTTGCTTTACTTGTCATAAAACTGTTTTACTGTTAATGGCTATTTCTTTGGTTGCATTTGCTTGAACTTAGTCGGAAGACCTTATTCAGACTGTTATGATGTCCATAAATGCAATTTAAATGCATTTAAAATTGATTTGCTACCATGGAGTGTGCTGAATTATTTCATTTAATAAAAGCCTTTGTGTAAGTGTTTTCATGTGTGATTTGTTTCTGTTAGCTTTTGCTCTTATTATAGTGAAACAAAAGTGTACCAGTGTTTTAGGAAGAGAAAATCAGTTATGCCTACTGTGCTGCATTAAGTAACCCAACACTGGAAGTAACGGAAATAATTACTTATCAGAGTGTTTAAAATTCCAGCATATTTTGAGGTAAGATCCTTTCATTATGAGAGAGTTTAATATAGACACAGGACAGAGATATGTTTTCTATAGCTAAAGACAAAAACATGGTGCTACCACTGAAGTCTTTCAACATTACTACCATGTTGCCATTCATTTGCATTGTGCCATATCTGTAGTTAGAATTGCATTTCTCAATAATCCAAATATTTAATCAGAAAGCAAGTTGCACGTGTCAGTGAAGGCATCGTTATTGTTTCAATTGTTTCAGCTCCCAGTTGAAATTTCTAAAAGTCAACTATTTAAATGTTGGACAATGTTTATTACAGTGTGCCCTCCTATGGTGACAAGTATGGCTACAGTCTTTTAAAAGTCACAAAACTGCACAGGCTGTTTGGTGGTGGATGAGTTGGGCTCAGATTGTGCTTTCCCATTGCAAAGGTTATATTTGGCTCTTGACGGGTTTGCCAGAAGCTGCTCTCCCTCAAAATATTAGTTAAAAGCAGGACAAAAGTGGTATGGTTTTATTTTCAACTTTAATCAATATTAAATACAATTAATATGATTATCCATCTATGCTTTTTATTCTCAGGGACTGCCTGGACAAGTCCCTGGATCGGACATGACAGAATCGAAGAACATTTTTTTAAAATTATTTTTCTCTTCTATAACATTAAATGCTACAATTTGCTACTTTTTGGGTCCACAACTGGAATTATTGGGAGTCACATGCATGCCTGGAATCTTTGAACAGACACAATATTCACATACGCAAGTTCTTTAACCTGGAGTGGGATGATCGCAAATGATGGGTAAATTACATGGCATATTAGTCCAGATATGCATAACAACATTACTTTCCAATTCATTTTCCAACAAAAAAGGGAAGGAATTTTACAATTTGCTCAAATCAATATCTCTATATGTTTTAATCACATTTTAACTATCTTCAATGTATTTATAGGCCATCTAACACCATCATGACTCTAGGCAGGTATAAGATAATTTAAAACAACGAAGTACAAAACAATACAGAAAATAAATATCCAGTAAAAATAGCACAAGACTAACAAACCCATCTTCTGTAAGAGGTGCACCATTCACTCCACCCAAGGCCTGGGGGAAGAGCAAGATTTTGAGGGCTCCTTTGAATAAAGTCAGGGTGGAAGCTCATACAGATTTCAGGAGAGGTATCATTCAAGAGGCAGGAGCTATAACACATTATACTCCATTTTCATGAGTCACACAGATGTCACTGTTTATCAAGGCACCCAGAGCATTCCAACTTCATTGCATCATATGGGATGAGTAGAAACTGCAGAAGATAAATGATCCTTTAGATAACTAGACCCAATGTTTGATCAAAGACAAACAAAACATAGTAAAACGTTATGCAAAAATTGAGATTATTTTGGTTCGGGGAGGGGGGTGACTGATGCTTTGGAAGAGTTAAGAGCAGTGGTGAAATCAGCGGTTTGCCACTGGTTCACTGCCTACGCATGCGCGGTGCATGCCAAATGCAAGCTTTACGAGTGCATGTGCAGTGCACACCAAATGCACACTGCACGCACGTGCACTGCACACCAAATGCACACTTCATGTGGAAAAAGGAGGCTTAAGAAGGTAAGTAGAACAGCAAGGGGGGGATCAGCTGTGCCGTGCGATTTAGAGTCGCTAGAAAGCAGGATTTCTATAATTTTTTTACTATCGGTTCGCCAAAACCGGTAGCATTTCACCCTTGGTTAAGGGCCATCAAAGAGAGAGTTATGGGGGATAACGAATGAGGCTCTCTCACATGAGCTGGTCTGGAACCACTTTATCAAGTCACAGCAATTTTTAATCGAACTTCAACACCATGATCAAAAGGAGCACTAGTGTAGGTGCACTAAAAGTGATTTCAGGAGCCACTACTTTGTTTGCCATGATGTGTCCCTTCAATATAACCAATAGAGGGGTAAAACATTAAAACAAGGTCAGTGTTCAATACTATAGCAGATACACTATGTACGCAATCCCTGAGATTTAGAAATCTGGCTTGAACAGTCCTGTCTGAATCCATGGATAACCGTTGCCAATCGAAGTAAATAGGATTAAGCTAACAGAACAAGGAAGCTTTCTAGATGCCAACAAAATCCACCTAAAGCAAAAATGGCAAACGTGGCCTTCTAGATACTGTTAAACTACAATTGCTGTCATTCCTTATCATTGGCCATAAATTGATGGAAGTTGGACCTCAGCACCATTTGTTTCATTTCAAGCTTAATGAATGCTTGACAAAGTTAAGTTTTATTTATTCCTAACTTTTTAATGGGAGTGAAAACAGATTTTTGCATTGTTCTCTTGGTCTTTATGATATACATTTATACTATAAGAATTATATAGCATCCTTAAAAAAAAAACACCCTCTTGATGTATCCCTTTTGTGAGATGAGTCTGTGAATCACCATCTTTGCAGATGGAAAATGGAAACAGCATGTCTTGGTTCAGAGTGATATAAAACAGGATAACATAGCAAGAAGATTCAAAATATAGAATTTCAAACACAGGAAATATCTTGATGGCCCTACATAAAATCCAATACAAAGGCTTTGTTGTACATCTTTGCAATTCAAGGTCCATAATTTGGGATGTATTACACATTTGGGTTGCAAAGCTCCAGACAATTACTAGAAGGCAGTCTAGAGACAAAAAGTTAACTCCTGCCATCTAGTGGTCATCTAACATTTTTGCATCCTCACTGTCAGCCTGATTTGAACAGCTCCTTAGGTGATAACTTTGGAGATCTTTGCCTTGCCATTATTTCCAGTGTTACACTATTATTGTAGTGTATTCATATTAATAAGCACAAATAGTTGCTGGTTATTGGTTACCAGCTTGAGATATACACATAAAATAATAATTAAATGCACACTTTGGAACCAGGAGCAGAGATAAATTTCATTTAACAGAAACATTGATTTTGCAAAGTCAAATACTTTGGAGAGAGAGAATTGATTGCAAACATAGGAATTCTACATTTCTTTTTAAAAATCTATTGAAAATTCTTGTTTGAAGCTAAGCCTGCATCTATAGAATGCATTGCATTGCATCTATAGAATGCATCTATAGAATGCATTGAATTTCAGACTAGCTAACCATATTTTATGAACCCAATTCATGTGGTCAATTTATGGTTCATGAGAAGCCCTAAGATTAGATTAAGAAAGCAAAGCTTCATACAATGGCATGTAGCTGACTTTGCTAAGCAGACGTCAGACCTCATTAATATTTGTGTAGGAGATTATCAGAAAAATCTCAGGACTGTGGGCTGAATAAGGCTTTCCCATTAATAAAAAAATATTGTGAAAAAACAGAATGGCAAACCACTTCTGTATCATTGCCCAAGAACAACACAGACATGTAGGCATCCGAAATAAAGCATGTATTTATATTTTGCACTTCGTAAACATAATGAAAAATTATTTTGCATGGACACAGATATAATCTCATTGTGGCTTTAATTTTACAAGGGTGGCAGATACAAAGCTAACGCTAACCCTGAACACGTCTTTCTCCAATCTTATGACACCTCCCGTCTGTTGACATTACAATTCTCAGAATTCCAAACACAATCAAAGAATTCTGGTAGTTGAAGCCTTATCAGACCTGGAAGGGTCAATGGGTTAGGGAGGGAATTCCAAAATATTTTCAAAATAAGAAATTAGGGCATGCAATATCAATGCTATAAAGGCTGTCTTTAGAAATGTTCAGCCTCCAAATTCGTTTTGGAACCAAAATACAAAACCATTGTATTAGAAGATATAGCACTAGCACTTAGATTTATATACCGCTCCATATTTTTACAGCACTCTTTGAGCTGTTTACAAATATTAGCATATTGCCCCTAACAATCTGAGTTCTCATTTTACCCACCTCGGAAGGATGGAAGGTTGAGTCAAACTTGAGCTGATCAGGATCAAATTCCAGGATCAAAATCTCAGTGGGCAGAATTAGCCTGCAATACTGCAATGTAACCACTGCACCATCAGGGCTCCTTGTATCAGAGGATAAGTAAATACTTACAATGTACTCCCCCTGGGAATAGGGGCACTGTTATATAGGATTTGTATTTTTATGGTGGATGGGAAGACTTTTTCATGTAAATATGCACCCAGTTATGGACCAACCACTGAGGTGCTGTGACTGTGTGCGGAGTTGTGATTGTTTTTCTCTGTCAGTGCTGCAACTCATTACAGACTAAAGATATCCCTTCTGCAGAATTCTGATACTTTAAATAATCAGTATTACCTGCTCAAGCCCAATTTCATTTCAATTCTGAGATCACATTCTGTTGTAAAGAGGGAACTTCAGTAGTTGCAACTTCTTAAGACAAATTCCCACATCAGCACAACTATTAAAATGCAATTGCACATTTTTTTCATTTAGCTACTTGACCCCAATGATATGCACAGAATCACATCCATGAAAATGAAGCTCCCACTTGTTTACTCAAAAAGAGCTCGTACTATACTCAGTGATGCACTCTACTGAAAATTTAGCCTGTAAGAAAAATCTTATATGCACACATACACACTGCTCAAGTTCTTCAATGATGACCCACTGTTTAAAAAAACAACAACCAGAGTTCCTTAATCCTCTTATCTGATTTGAACCATGAACTAATATGACTGGTTCACAAACGTGCAGCACAACTAATCAGTCACATTTTAATCTCCCAGCTAATCTCAACCCTTCACTCTCTCTCTCTCTCTCTCTCTCTCTCTCTCTCTCACACACACACACACACACACACACACACACACAACACACATTTGGAAGCAAGTCCCATTATAAACTATAAAGCTTGCTTCCACATTCCACGTGGACCTTACTAGCAGTTGAGTTAGATCAGCAGGCTCCAAGGATAGTAAATCAAGAAAATCTCTCGGAAATATACAGAAATGCCTTAAGTATGCGTTCTGTTTTTATTAGCCAACAAGTGCTTGACAGAGAAAAAAAATGTGGCAGAATTGTCATCACCATAAATACATTCATACATTAAATTGCTTGTTTTCAGTCAGCTTTTAGACAAACACGTTCTGTATGGAGTAATTTTTTGTGTGTGCATGGGGGGGGGAGTTTGTTTATTTGAACAGATCAGGCACAAAACCAAAAAGAAATTCCCAAGGGAGCATCTGTTGTTATTAGGATTAGTGTGAAACACGACTTGACAACAAAATCTTCACATGAAAGCTTGGGTTGAAAGACAACATTAAAGGCGCTGCTATTCACCCCACTTGCTAATCATCTGGAAACGTTACTAACACAACACAACACAACACACACACACACACACACAAATAAGATATTTTTAGAGAACCCCGGACATTTTCGATCGTCATAGATCTCTTTATTATGGGGAAGCGAAAGCTTGGTTTGCTATAAACTCAGTCTCACATGGCGTCTCTTCCTTAAAGTTTAACCCCACCAGCCTGCTGGCCACCACTCTCCGGATTCCCAGCCCAGATGGGCTGTTCGGCGATTCTCAAGCAGAGGAAAACGCTACTAACAACAGCAGGGTCGCCACGAACGTCGGGATCTTCCAGGACCCGCATGCTAAACGGAGTAAACCCCCTCGCCTTGCTCCGCGAACGCTTTAACATCCTTCCGGCATCGTCCTAGGAGTTTGCGCATGACGAGGGGCGGGAGGAAAGGAAAGAAAGGGTTTCTATGGCATCAGCCAACAAACAGGAGTCGATCCAGCCCGGGAGGTTTTTTTTTTTTTTCCCTCCACCGAATCGCAGCTGCAGATTCCCCTTTCGAAAAAGAGGTGCCGGTGATGTAGATGGGTGAGTTTATGGCTGCTGGGCGTTTTCAAAGGAGGCAGAGTGAAAAGCGAAGCTCGAAGATCTGCTCATTCTTGAGCATCCTTGAGCATCATTTTTTTTTCTTTATCGTTTAGGACAGGGGTCTCCAACCTTGGCAACTTTAAGATTTGTGGACTTCAACTCCCAGAATTCCTCAGCCAGCAAAGCTGGCTGAGGAATTCTGGGAGTTGAAGTCCACAAGTCTTAAAAGTTGCCAAGGTTGGAGACCCCTGGTTTAGTAGTGGGCATCAGGAGACAAGATGCATTTCTGGTGGGGATGCTGACACTGACCTTGGCGATTGAGAGGCTCACATTCCAGTCCAGCTACGGGGGAAGAAGAGTCGTTTATTTCTACCTATTGCCCCAGTTTCTCAAATGGAGAAGGAATTATCGGGTTTTGTGTTTCCAAAACCAGAAAGGAAGGACCATCATTCTTGTTCTCGGCTCTAGTGTAGTGACCTCGACAAGGCTGGGGAGCCCATTTGTCCTCCTGAATCAGTTCGGGACACACAAGCTCAGAAGTTGGAAGCGCCAGGAGGAGGGAAAATTGGGTGGGCTCTATAGAAAAGCGGCTGGGTCATCAAACTCCAAACTGGATATTGTTGTTCCTTCTCCTCTGTTAATAGCTGCACCAACATAGCAATAGCACTTAGACTTATATACCACTTCACAATGTTTTATAGCCCTCTCTAAGCGGTTTACAGAGTCAGCATATTGCCCCAACAATATGCACTTAGTGTACTCACTCATCCATTGCTCTCCAATTTCCCCTTTGAGAATGATCTAGTTTGCTGCTCCAGAGCTGAACCAGCACATATGTTTCTTAGACTTCTGACTTCTTCCCCTTGCCCTCTTTTTCTAATAGTTCCGAGAAAAATCCTGGAGAATTTGAAATCTTGCCCAGTCATTTTGTCTGGTTCCAATAAAGATTTTAGCTAATTTTAGTTTTGGATTCTTTCTGAACTAGCATTTCTATGATTGCTTTCAATATAACGGAATAATTGGGTTTCTAGCACCGAGTCAAAAATGAATTGACTGGGGTGTAAAATATTAACACTGGATTGCTACAGAGGTGATTGACAGCCTGATCCAATCCATGAGTCTTCAAGCCAGTTGGAAGTCCTTTGAAGATTATAAAAAGGGCCCTGCAGTGTCACATAACAGCTAATCAGGTACATTCAGGAGTCTCAGGCATGAAGGGCAGAGCAGAGCAATAGGTTCCTACTCCTGAGGAACTTAAGTGCTACCCCAAAGAATATCATTATACATTTTGAAACCACATGTCTGTGCAGATTTACTCAGGTAGAAATTCAACTGAGTTCAAAACGGCAACGGTATACGTACACCCTTAGTATTCAAATAATCTTCTCTAAACGAACAGTACTTCTCCAAACAAGGGCTTAGTAATCAATGAAATATTAATGAATGTAGCAGACATGCATCATGAAATTCTATGAAATACAAAATGAAAGTAGCAAAAGAACATCAACCTTGTACAAACTGAATGTTAAGACAAACCATAGGAAAGATGTCAACTCAGGATGTTTGTCTGTAATTAAACCCTTGGGCAGATCCAGTTTTAAACTTAAGTAGCATATACACTTCAATCCTCTACATATCTATTCATAAGAATGGCCTTGCTTAGGCGCCATCAATCAGGCAGGTGCATCTAGTGGGAGAAAAGAAGCATGCCTTCTCTGTTAGGTGCCTTTACTCCGAAATAATATTCTCCCACTCAATGGATCCGAATGGCTCCCATCCTGAGTATGTTGCATGAAGCTATTAAAGACCTGGTTATTCTCCCAGACTTGGGGCAGGATAAAAGTTGAGCCCCTATTGAATGTGGAAGGGATGGGGTTGGTTATGTCCATCTGTGTCTGTCTATCTCTCTCTCTCTCTCCCTATCCCTTCCTCCCTCCCTCCCTCCCTCTCTCTCTCTTTCTATCTATCTATAATCTCTATCTTTATTTATTCTATCTGTCTGTCTATCATCAACATCTATTGATCTGTTGATCTGCCATTCATGATAGCTTTTTTGGTTATTTGTCTATTTTTTACTTTGCCTCCCTTTTGTTCAATCTTGTTCAATTTTCAGGGACTACGTAGACAAGTCTCTGCAGTTTTCTTGACAAGTGGTTTGCCATTGCCTGCTTCCTAGGGCTGAGAGAGAGTGATTGGCTCATGGTTACCCAGCTGGCTTTGTGCCTAAGGCAGATCTAGAACTCAGGGTCTCCCAGTTTCTATCCTGATTCCTTAACTACTACACCAAACTACCTTTCATATTTACTTTACTTTTTTATAATTAAAAGGGGCCTATAAATTGCATAAAAATAATGTTATGTATATAAGGAAAGATAAGGAAAGAAATGCAATATTCATTTGGAAGCTTTTAAAAATCTTCATTGGTTTCCTGAAACAAGAGATGAAAATGGCATCCCCCCCCATCAGTGTGTAGCTACTAATACATTCATGTATGATTTGCACTTCCTTTTTTTTAGTGAGATGAACTCCGTCAATTCATTTGAAGCTGAGTACATAAAGAATTTGCAAAAACAAATCTGCTTACTAGAATATGAGACAGCTTATCTATATCCTTTTAAAATAACACAATTTTATTACAAGTATTTATGGTGGTTCCAAATTAGTGTTATTTCTTAACAACTTTAAAATGTTCTGTATTTTGAATACCAAGGATCCCTGCCTGTTTGTTATGAAAAAATACAATTTATTGGATTAATTTGCTCTTAAAAACACAATGCGATAGGGTTTTTTTCCTTTCCCCAATAGTTCGCTTTATTTAGGACAAAATTAAGTCACACCTTTTGTTAACAATATATCATGTACTTTCTCTGTTTCCAACACTAAAATTGGAATGACACTTATTTATTTATAAATTTGTAAGACCACCTTACTCACAAAATGTGACTGGAGGCAGCTAACATAAGATTAAAAGGAATAAAAGATTAACAAAAAATATCAAAGAACCATGACAATACAATATAAATAGTACAGAGATTAAAAATCAAAACACCTTCAAAATCTTCAAAATGTTAGTTTTCCAGATGGGCTAATCTAATGTCTTAATTTAGTTCCCAGAGGAAATACGAAGTTTTTAACCCCTTATGGAAGGCCAGCAGAGTTAGGCCATCTGAATCTTGAGTATGTGTTCCAAAGGAAAGGCACCATTACAGAGGAATCATGTCTTCTGGGTCCCATTACATGGCATTGTGACATAGAGGGGACCTGAAGCATGCCCAGTCTGTCAGACCTCATGGGATGGGGAGACATAACTTGAGGTAGGGGCTCCCACAAATAACATACCCTTGTGCAGTGGTGAAATCTAAAATTTGTTACTACTGGTTCTGTGGGCGTGGCTTGGTGGTGGTGGGGTAATGTGACTGGGTGGGCATGGCCAACTTTTTTTTTTTTTTTTACTTTTAAAACCATTTTTTCTACAACCTCTTCGGCCGAAGAGGTTGTTAAAAAATGCTTTTAAAAACCTTGACGATCCCAGCTGAGCTGCGCAATCAATCATTTTAAAATGTTTTTAAAAGCATTTTTTCCGCCAAAGAGGTTGTAGAAAAAATGCTTTTAAAAATTAAAAAAAAGCCTCTGTTGATCGTGCGGCTCAGCTGGGCATGGGTGGGGGGCAGGGATTTTTGCTACTGGTTCTCCGAACCACCCGCCACCATCACTACCGGATCAGGCGATCCGGTCTGAACCGGGAGCATTTCACCTCTGCCCTTGTGCCATAAAGGTTTTTGTAGGTAATAAGATGTACCTTGAATTGCACCCAGAGCCTGTAGAAAGCTAGTGCAATGGTAATGTTACATTGGCACCTTTAACTACAGTATCTATATCAGTTTCTTCTGGACCAATTGTAACTTCTGAATGGTATTCAAAGGTAACCCCAGGTGCAGTGTTGCAATAGCCCAAGTGGAGGGTAATGAAAATATGGGTAACCATAAGCAAAGCCTCCTGATCATGGAAGAGATTCTACTGGCATACAATATGTAATTGTAGAAAGGTCCTTTTGACCACTACTACTACAAGGAGCCTCCAGATTGCACACCAATTCTGTCTAGGGGGAATAAAATCCCATCTACAACTAAATAGAGAAAGTCTTCAGATCCAGTGGGCCTAAAATCCAGAGTCACTCAGTCTTGTTTTGATTAAGCAAACTTCTCCCATCCAGATATTTATAACCTCCAGATATTGGATCCCAATAGAGTCCATCTAACACCCGTGATGCACTAATCGAATAGATATTTCCTGTGGTGGGAAGTGGGTGCAGAGAACTTCAAAGCCAACTTTTGCCTTCCATTTGGAGCAATGGAACATTGTCTTTATAGGAGACATTCTGAACCCAATACTTGAGATATGTTGAGCTACACCTTTTATAGTTCTAGAATTGCACAATCAAAAGCTCCTCCCAATTTAACTTTGGCTTATTCCAGAACAAATAGGTATTGGTCCAAACAATGCAGTGGGCCTTGGCTGCTCAAAATATTCATGTTTTAAATATCAATGAGGTATTGTTGGCAATAGATCATATTAGAGAAAGGGTTGTGCTTCACTTTAATAAATTAAAATTATTTTTTTAAGTTTGGGAACTTAATTATGATCATTTTCTGCTTCAAAAGTTGTAAAAATCATATATCCTTAACTTTATTTGCAGTGAGATATAGTTATAAGCTTTATAACAGAATAAATCTAAAATTTAACCCCTAGTCATTCATCTCTGCTGCATTTCTCAGTTATATACAGAATTGGTCTTTGGGAGAAAGAAAAAGCATTTAATTCCTTTATTGTATTTCATATTCAAATGAAATGACCAATGCCTATCTATAGATAAGAACTGTTTTCAATAATATAAGAGAACAATGCATGTTTGGAGGCCAAATAGTACTTTTATATCCTTCTTTATATTGCATATGGATACTTTTCTTTTATAGTGTTTAAAAAAGTAATTTATTATTTCTAGGACAATTGAAGAAAACTTACATTAAGTCCCACCTCATTAAATCCCATGTGTATTTAGCACTCCAAAAGGACTGCCAAAATCACCCATGCTGATGTCAGAAATTTAGCATTTTTGAATGCTGGGTTTTCTTGAGATCATATTTTTATGAAGATTATAGCAAATTCATATGATGACTCAAGATTATTAACATATTTCTGATGTTAACCTGTTTCTGAAACTAGGAATTGATCTTTCAAATATCATATATCTTGTTCCTTAATCATGCACCATAAACTAGAGAGAAGGCTAAGAATGCTACACACATCCCACCTAAAGTTACTAGAAAAGCCACAATGCTGTTGCAGACATTGAAGGTAACTTCTGTTAAAGTTTTATTTGGTTCTCTTGCATTGCCATTCCAATGTCAGTATCCTCAACAATCATTACAGGCTTCTGTGGCCATATGAGATGCTCTTCCTATAGCACCTTCATGTTGCTTTTCAGTTGGCACTTCTCTAGGCATCACTAAGATACCCTCTCTAAAAAATAAATGTCAGTTTTAATAAAGCGTGATGTTCATTTAAAAGGAAAATGATCAATGATATCTTTGCATCTATAGGATCACTCTATGTGTGATTGCACTGGCTCTTGATAGAGTAGTCTTTTCATTTTATTTAAATCATAAGTATTAGTTATAACATCACATAATTACCTGTTTATAGAAATAACACATTTGTAATTGCTTATAGAGCAATACCTAAGTAGATGATTCCATCGTATTTATTTATTCCTTAATTTGATGCCTTTTCTTCAGTAGTTTATGGATTGATGTGCAGCCACTTTAGTTAATTCTGCCTATTGTGTAAATCGAGGTAAGCAAGTTAAGTTAATAAACTGTGGTTCAATTAAACTAAGTAGTGTATATTAACAGATTAACAGAGTTGGAAGGGACCTTATAGGTCATCTAGTCCAACCCCCTGCTCAAGCACGAGACCCTATACCATTTCTGATAGATGGCAGTCCAATCTTTTCTTGAAAGTCTCAAGTGATGAAGCTCCCACAACTTCCGAAGGCAAGCTGTTCCATTGGTTGATTGTTCTCACTGTCAGAAAGTTCCTCCTCATTTCTAGATTGAATCTCTCTTTGGTCAGTTTCCATATATTATTCCTTGTCTGGCCTTCAGGTGCTTTGGAAAACAGTTTAACCCCCTCCTCTCTGTGGCAGCCCCTCAAATATTGGAACACCCCTATCATGTCTCCCCTGGTCCTTCTCTTTATTAGACTAGCCATGCCCAGTTCATGTAATTGTTCTTCATATGTTTTAGTCTCCAGTCCCCTAATCATCCTGGTTGCTCTCCTCTGCACTTTTTCTAGAGTCTCAACATCTTTTTTATAGTGTGGTGACCAAAACTGGATGCAGTACTCTAGGTGTGGTCTTACCAGGGCTTTATAGAGTGGTATTAGTACCTTACTTGATCTTGATTGTATCCAAGCTAATCTAATATGACACTGAGCTACCTAATTGTTTGAGTGGATTCAGTGGCATCAATAAGTGTCAATTCTTAGTGACCACATACTGTAGGTAAATTTTCTCCATGGTGATTTTTTTCCCCAGTCTGGTCCTTCGAATCTTCCTGCAGTGCACTCAACATTGCAATAACATCCACTTTGCTATTGGTTTTCCCTTCCTTCCCTTCCTTCTGTTTCATTCCATCTTTCTAGGTTATAGGAGCTACATCTTCAATCATGCATCCAAAGTATGATAATTTGAGCCCATTCACTTGTGGCTCAAATGAAAACTCTGAATTCATTTATTTGATAATTCATTCGTTTGTTTTCTTGATTGCCTGTGGTATTCTCAGTAGTGTTCTCCAACATTCAAAAAAAATTAACACTCATTCTATCCTGTTCAAAGTCCAAGTTTTCTTCTGTAGTGTCACAGGGAAAACCACAGCCTGCGTGGTTCTTGATACGTATAGACATATTCCAGCATCTCCAAAACCTTCATTGCTACTGTACTGACTGTGGCAAATTTCTGGTTCTTTTACTTTATTGTTAATTCTGAAAGGAAAAGCTACTCACTATTTCAATATATTTAATGTCAGGCTCAAGGCTGGTTGTTGTATCTGTTGTCATTAGTTTGATCTTCTTTAATTTAATCTTTGTTCCATTTATTTTTTCATTACACTCCTTAATTTATATTAGTAGTTTGCAAGTCATTGCATTTTCAGCTATCAGTTTAGCATCATCAGCATAGTGCGGATTAATAATGTTTCTTCTTCCAAATGTAAACATTTCAACACTCCACTTGTTATAATTTATTTTATAGGTAACATATTTTCCCCGATACAGAAAGGATAGAACTTGTTCAGGAAGCTGATGAGTAAAGAAACACAAATACAGAAGGGTACAGAAAGTAACATGGATATGAGTTTCTTGGCATTGTTAAGAATCAGTGTAAATCTTCCACAATGAGATGCCATTTGGGACATTTGATTTCAACTGTTAGCCATGCTGATTGTGAACGATGGGAAATAAAATCTTAACTCTCTAGGTGGCAGTAATTTGAGGAGGATCTAAATTGTATTTTGATTGATATACTAGCCAGCTATTAATGTGCTTTTACTAGTCTTTTAACTGAAATAAATGTATTTGCATGAAATTAATCTATTGCATATTTTCAAAGGAACTGGAAGCTACCATAAGCAGAACAGAAATAGATATAGCAAAGAAAGAAAATAGTACCAAGCATTATGAAACTGAAACTCAAGCAATACACAAACGTCTTCACATACTGTCTGGTAATGAAAAACTCTTCTTCTCATGGGGTGTCATTCTTGCTATTAAGCCTAATTTATGAATACGAACTGGATCACTGTTGGATTTCTATATCTGTAAACAGCTATTTAAAATGTAGCCATATTCTATATTCTGATAATGGATTATCAGAAATCAGGAAAATCTGGCTGTACAAGACACAGGAGCTTTGTGTTACAATCACACTTGTAATACCAAGCAAAGCTGTCTTTTTTTTTTTTTAGATGAACATGTTTATAAATCATGGGGAAAAGGAGAAAAAAGACTGTTATTCTAACCAGTCTAGGAAATTCAGGCTTTCCCAACATTTGCTAGATTAAGAAATATGAGTATTTGTTTGATGTCTATTAGAATATCCATTTTGGAGCAGATGCTATTTATCCATGTTGTATTACAATCCTAAACCATGGTTTATAAACTGCAATTGGGCCAGTCTATAAGCCTTGCTTAAGATTATCATTGCTCAAATGATATATGAATCCAGTCACTTATAATACAACTTTCCTTTCTTAGGTAGCTAGGTGGATTAAGGCACCAAAAATACTTTTCTAAAACTTCTTAAACAACATCTGCTATATTTCTTTCATGAGAGGGGAGAGTTCCATAGTACAAACTTGCTACCCTAGAATTCTCCATTCATGGCTGAATTTACTAGTGCCCCTCAACCTCGTTTATATTTTAAAAAACTATCACAATTACCCTGTTTCCCCCAAAATAAGATATCCCCTGATAATAAGCCCAATCGGGCTTTTGAGCGCATGGCAATAAGGCCAAGGGTTTAATTTCAGGGCTCAAAAAAATATAAGACAGGGTCTTATTTTCGGGGAAACACGGTAGATATTTCCCTCTCTACTAAAACCACAGTAATGGAGGACACTGAAATTCAGATTGCTAGAGCCAGCATGAGCATTCCCATCTGCATTGCTGTTGGAAGAAGGAATCTGGGCAAAAGGAAAAGGAAATAGAGCTCCAAGATTTTGAGTGCAAAGCTGTCTAGCTATCTTCCTGGACTGAGGGACACTAAAATACAAACACATAACTCTGTACATATTATTTATGTGTTTACGCAATGAAAATAGCCTAGTGATTTTCGAGAAGTTGCACATAAGGTGCTGCAGCAACTCAAATATTGTTTATTCCGATTCTTGCGCATACTGTAAGCATGTTTTATCTGGACATAAGCCCTGCTTTGTTTCAGTAGGTTATCTTTCCTAATAAATAGTTTTAGAGTCTCAGCCTCAGAAACATCTGGAGGCTTAGTGTCATAATTCAACTAAACAGTCACACAAGAAAGGAAATAGATGTTTACAGGAAGACCAGACATATTTTAAATGTGTGGAGCGATCCTGATGATTTCCTGCAGATGCAAGTGCTAAAGAAATGCTGCTATTAATGGAGGAGGTTACAAAACTGAAGAAAATGGTTGAACACTCTACCCAGGATATTTCACACAAAGAAGCAGAACTGCTAAAAATTCAGAGAGAAATGCAAGAGACTGTGAATTCAGTGAAAGAAAAAGAACATGCTGTCTGTCTTTTGGAATCAAAAGTAAGCTATTGCAGTTAAGACATTTACCAAATGCATTTGTGAAAGAGTTATTGCTATGTTAAGAGGCATATATGGTTGAATTAATTTTAATTTTAAAATGGGAGACTTGTGATGAATAGCCTGTTCTTTCTTAAAAGTGAAAATATGTATTTATTACCTAACTATAATTTATCTAAACTATGTGTCTTCAATACGCTTTTGCTAATCCAAATAGATGACATTTCTGAAGAAGAATATAATTCCACTTTTTTCTGAAGTACAAACTTTAAAATATATATAATTCTGAAAACTTTGGTCATTATGTAGACCTACTCATACATAAAGTAAAAATTTCTGACTTGGATTATTTGAAGAAGATCAAACCTATGTTACTATTTCTTAGTTCCTGAAAATTGATTTTGGAACTTTAGTTCTATGAAATGGTCAGTGATCTCTGTCAATTAAGCCTTCAGTCTTGTTATGAAACAACAGCCTTCATTAGTTTAATGGGAAGCCTTGAGCATTAAAATTCATGTTCATGTCTGCTCTAATGAAAATTGATTAAAATTGATATTATTCAGAGCTAGCTTCAGTATTAAAATGAATACTGCTTCCAGAATTATGAGCCTGGTGGCTCAGCAGACTGATAGCATTGTGATTAACACCACCTGTCTGCAATTACTGTAAATTCGAATCTCACCAGGCTCAAGGTTGACTCAGCCTTCCATCCTTTCTAAGGTAGGTGAAATGAGGACCCAGTTTGTGGGGGCAATAAGCTGACTTTGTATAAATATACAAAAGTATGAAGGCTATTGCTTAACGCATTGTAAGCCGTCCTGAGTCTCCGGAGAAGGGCGGCATATAAATCAAATTAAAAAAAAACAAAAAAAACAGGGATGTGGTTTTCTTACCACATCAACCTCCTCCAGCAGTGAGTGCTCATTTTAGTAAAACTGGAATTAAAATCTGGTGAAATTTGGTTTAAACACAAGAAACAAGATGCATAGATGCTAGTGTTATGACAGATGCAATATCTGATAACAAATGGGCAATCTCGAAGGTTAATGCCTAAATGCTATATAAACAACAGATAATAAGTGTATATTCCTTATTCTAGAAATGGATCACTCTATACCAGGGGTGTCAAACTTACAGCCCGCGGGCTGGATGCGTCATGCAGTGGCCGCACCTACTCCCGATTTAGCGAAGGGAGAAAAAGTTGCGATAACTCACATGACAATGAGTCATCGTGAGTTTGACATCCCTGCTCTATAGTCTCACCAGAACAATCCTTAATGATGCTTACAACAACAGCAAAGCCTGAGGGAAGGGAATGTTTAGTATTCATTTTATTATATGTTTTATTTAGTGTCAGCAGAAGATTTGGCAGTACCAAGACATGGAAAAAAACCTTTCAGAACTCAGATCACAGTGCACACAACTGCAAGTATTGCTTTACCGCTTAGAAGAGAAATTATCAATGAGCTCCCAATCTCCACAAGAGACCATTGTTAAGGAACTTAGGTAAAAACACTTGTGTTATCCACCTTTTAATATTTTCAGAACAATTCAGTTTCTGTTGTTCACACTGAATAGCTAAGCATTTCTGCATAATCAGTATAGTAATAAAATCAGGAGAGATAGTGGTAGCATAGAAATAAAAACCTTATTTCTGAATGATCAATGAAAGCTAATATTTAAAATGATTTATACTTAGTGAAGAAGCTGAACAATTAAGGCAGATCCTCAAGGAAAATGAACTTTCAGCTGATGAAGATAAGTATTTGCTCAACAAGATGGCAGAAGATTGTGGACATCTGACAAAGGAGAATAGTCTTTTACATGCTCAAATACAGAAAGTTACCAAGCATCTGAACCAGGTAGGCCTCATCTGTTCCTCAGATTCCAATCTTGAACCACAAAAGAAACCATGAATTTCAGTGCAAAATTTGTTTTGTAAATTATGAATTTCCAGAACATTGATTGACAGACCCACACACAAGTACATAACAGAACATTATAAATTTGAAGGATTTTACTATAGTAATAGCCATAAAGGCTAAAATAATAGAGGATCTTTAAGGGAATTCTATTATGTCTTGTGATTGCAAAAGGAGTAATAGGAATTTTATGGCTTAGGAGTTAAAATCAGCAGCATATTATCACTGCTATTTTACTGCTATTTTCCAAAATAATTTCTTCATATTTTCAGGATTCAGTGAGTCCAAAAGTGATCAGGAACTCCATTCATTCTGATGCCCTCTGTCTCTCAACCTCTGTCTTCCATGCAGCAGTGAATAAAATAATTCTTGCCAAATTCTGAGTTGATCTCTTGCATGAGAAGACTGAAATTAGTTTGAGGCCTATATGAAATCAGTTGTATTCCTATTTGTTCACCCCTTTCTCACAGACAAGGTGGTGTTATTGCATGTACAACATGCTAATTTTAAAAAAGAAATTGTAGATATTGAATTATTTGCAGTCTTATAACAATTATGTGAAGTTAAGAGAAACAGCGGTAGCACCTCAGAGGAACAGATACCATGATTCGGTTTACTAATATACTAACTCATATAAATGCCGTAGGAAAGGCAGCTGAGAGAGGAGGAGACTTCTTCCTGTTCAAGAAGAGTGTCTGAGCTAACATCAAGAAGAGAGAAAACATGGCAACTTAAGCGGAAACTCACCCACTTGAAGACTCTGTTACAAAACCTAAGACAGAAAGTTCTTAAAGCTCAGGAACAGGTTGTAACAATTATGTAACTCAAATTCCATTGGTAAAATATAGATGTACCTGGGGAATTAAGTAATGCTGGAGATGACCTATCTCAGTGCCTGAAGGCTCTGAGCATCTGGATGGGAAAAAATAGGCTTCAACTGAACCGTGGTTAAGATTGAATGGTTCTGGTTTTTAGGACTTGCTGGTTTTACAACCCTGCCATCTTTGGTGCTGGATGGGGATATACTGTCCCAGACAGCCAGCTTGACAATCTGGGGTCCTTCTAGAGTCATGACTCCTGCTTAAAGAGCAGGTGGCAGTTGTAGCTAGGAGGGCCTTTGCATAACTTCGCATTGTGTGCCAGTTGCATCTGTTCCTACATTAAAGTCATCTCTCATGGTCACTAGTCACCTATTTGGGTTACTGTAATGTGCCTTTGGTGTTTAGTCATGCCGGCCACATGACCACGAAGATGTCTTTGGACAGTGCTGGCTCTTTGGCTTTGAAACGGACATGAGCACCGCCCCCTAGAGTCGGGAATGACTAGCACATATGTGCGAGGGGAACCTTTACCTTTTTTAATGCACTCTACGTGGTGCTGTCCTTAAGAGTATCTAAAAGTTTCAATTGGCGCAAAATATAAGTTTAGTTATGTGTGTTCCTAGTAGAACACAGGTTAAACCTCTGCTCTGTCAGCTGCATTGATTGCCAGTTTGTTCCCAGGTCAAATTCAAGGTGCTGTTTTTGACCTTTAAAGACCTACATTCCATGGAGTTAGCTATCTGAGGGATTGCCTTGCCCTGATTCATCTGTTCATCTGTCCAGATCCAACACAGAGAGCATGCTGAGTCCCATTGGCTAGGGAGTGACATTTGCCGGACCCTAGGCAACAGGACTCTGCTGTGGTTACTGCCCTATGGAATATTGTTTTCCCCAAAGTGAGATTGGTTTTATTACTTTTGACTTTTTGAAGATCCCTTAAAACCTGGATGCCTTCAGGCTTGGAGACCTCCAGGTGACTGATGACTTAGTAAGGTAGCTACATTATTACTATCATATTTCCTTTTCAGCTTTTATAGTTGTTTTAAATAATATTTATAATATTGCTTTAGTATTTATTATCTCTTTTTAACTTTGTTATACATTGCTTAGAGTCACTTGTGAGATGGGCAGCTATATAAAGTTGATAAATAAATATGATAAATAAATAAATTAAACCCAAACACAAGAGCCGATATACATTCCTTTTCCGTACTAGGGAATTTTAGTAATATCCCTTGGATTTTGCAGAGAGTCAAAATTAAATTTAAATTAAAAAAAGTTTAGTTTTTATCCTGCCCTCACTTTGTGGAAAGTGATTTCCAATATGCTATTTGACAGAGTTGTCCTCAACCTGAAAAAGCTTACACTAATTTAGCATATAAATTCACCCATTCATGAAGCATGCTTAAGATCCTTTATAATTACACCAGCATAATTAAGGATAAAATTAAGATAGTCTTTGAATCATTGTCTACAACGTTGTTGTAAGAATTGCCAGCAAATGTGACACGTATGTAAAATAAATGTAAATATATCATTTCTGAACAATCTTCCTTATTCCATTAAAATCAAGGAAGCCTATAACGCAAGCATGTCAATTAACTAGACATTTTTAAATGAAATTGATGTTTATAGACACTAATTAATATATTTCAAATTCACTGCAAATAGTTACTTCATCTACAAGAAAGAAAATCTACAGATCACAGACGACAACATCTTCATACACAACTAATTGATTTAGAAAATCAACACACCAAAGTGCAACTGGAAAATTCTAAACTGAGAACAGAGAAAAATCATTGGGTGGAACGTATTTCTCAAATACACAAACAGGTATCTTAAGCAACATACCTTTTTATTTACATTCTATGTTTTTGACATTTTGAAAAAAAAAAAAAACAAGACAGAATCTCTGTAATTGGCTTCCCATATTTAATAATATCTAGTATAAAATGAAGCAAATGACTGGTTATGACTCAGAATAAAATATTTATGAAAACTGCAGTTAGAGAGCCAGATACAATTCTGTGAGCGTGCAGGGGAAGAACAAAAACAACCTATGCCCGTGATGGCGAACCTATGGCACGCGTGCCACAGGTGGCACATGGAGCCATATCTGTGGGCACGCGAGCGTTGCCTTAGCTCAGCTCCAGTGTGTATGTGCATACCGGCCACTGATTTTCGGGCCTTCCGGACCCACCGGAAGTCAGGAAACGGGCTGTTTCCAGCCTCTGGAGGGCCTCCAGGGGGATGGGGAAGGCTGTTTTCGTCCTCCCCAGGCTCCTAGAGAGGCTCTGGAGCCTGGAGAGGGTGAAAAATAGGCTTACCGGGCCCACTGTGCCATCACGTGCCAAAAGCGGGAGTTGTGCACACATGCGCGGCGGACATTGAATTATAGGTGTGGGCACATGTGTGCATGACCCCCCCTGCACTCCCCTGCTTTTGGCACGCGACGGCAAAAAGGTTAGCCATCACTGACCTATGCATTCCTGCCTGAAATTTAAACAGTTAATTAAGATTGCAAAATTCATTAGGGTTAAACTGCTTCAAAGAAGGATCATTGGTGATTATTATTAGTCATGGCAGCTATTGGGATCTTCATGTTCAGGGATAACATACACAAATAGGAATAGGAGATGCTGGGATAAGGAAAGAGCAAAGTGTTTGTGTTCTGCTGCATTTCCTTCAGAGGCATGTAGTTGGGGAAAAGGATGCTGGATTATAGTATATGTCAGGTTGAGATCACTGCTTTACAAAATGACCTGAGGCTTTTAGTTATATAACTTTCAATAACAAATGTTTGTTAAATCTAGAACCATTCACAATACTGCAGTATATGACCTGCAGCGTGATCTGAAGTTCATCTAAGAACTGTTAAACTTCTCACTTGGGGGGGGGGATTTTTTGGCCCACTCCTTTTTACAAAACTACTTCAGCTCGTTGATGTTTTGAGGCTGTATGAATTGCTCACTTGAAGTCCTGCCATACCATTTCAGTTGGGCTAGAAAAACAATTACAAAATGCAAACATTCTTCTGCATCCGTCTTTCTGTTGTAGATATGTTTGTTTAGGATCATTTTTGTCCTGCATGATTGGTATTTGCTTAGGCTTTGGCTCAGAGACATAGTGACATTCTCTTGTAGAATCTGGTAATATGCAGGTAATGGAACTTGGTATCTAAAAGCTATCCTGGTTCATCTTGAAGTGACCTTTATTGAACAGCCATTGTGAAGAGTATATACATATATTGTATATATACTATATACAATAGAAGATGCAATTATCCTTAACTGCATGACTATAGATGATAGAAACTAAGTTTGATCAAATGTTCTAATATGAGCCTCAATAATTTTTTTTGATGTTCATAGAGATCTCTGGATCAAGACAAGCTTCACTTTCATAAACCTGTTTCATAAATAACAGGTTCTGATGGAGCCACCAATATGTGGGCACCATCTTTTGTGGGAGAGCCCTCCACACACACATCTGATTTGTCATTTGATTGAAGTTATCAATTGAAAAGCTGCTTATTCTAGGACCTTACATACTTTTTCCAGCAGTCAGTGAATGTTGGCTTAATATATTCAATAAAGACATGACACAATACACTGTTTTTGTCAGTCTCTTTATTAATAGAACCTTACTGAAGTTCTGACCATTGTCACATTGAAGGTCACCATACTGCAGAATTAGTGTGTGTGTGAAAGATTCACAGACTTCTCTCACCAATGTATAGTATTTTGTTGCTATAACAAGCAGATCATTAAACCTGCTTTTCCTAACATCGGTAGAAGGCTTCACTTTTCTTCTAGCTTCAGCATCTGTTGCTTTTTTCATTGACACACAAGTGTTGGGGTTAAAGTCAGTCATGGAAGCTCACTGGGGCATTTTAGATCAGTCATTCTCAGCCCAAACTAATTTACAAGCTTAGTTCAGCATGATGCCAAAAATGACTGTTATCACCCAATGACTTTTGTAATAAAATGTGATTGGTAGGTAAAATATTCAGAAAATCAAAGAATCAGATTTACAGCGATCAAAGGCATACATTTTAGTGACTCCACATAACTTTGTCCTTTTTGAAGGTTAGCAGAGTAAGGAAATATTTTTGTTTGCTTCTTCATATACATTGCAGAAATTAGCTTACCTTGATACAAAATTTAATAGCTTCAGTTTGTCAGGCATTTCTAGAAAGCTATCATGATTATGGCTAAAAGTAGAGAGAGGGTTGTTATTGCAATACCATAAACATTTCCCGGCAACATATAACAAAAATGGTAAAGATATAAAAATGTTAAATGTTTAAGCCATGTTTAGCAATTCAATAAACCAAATTAAACATGGTGTTCCATGCATACTTAACAGTTCCTTAGAAAGGATTCCCTCAAAAGAGACCTTTCTGCATATTTAATAATTTGACAAGGTTGTCCAGTTCGCATTCTACAGGATAGTTTGCATGACTTTAGAACTTGAGAGCCAGACCTGAAGTCAACCCCCAAAGACTGACAACCAGCTAAGGTCTCTACCAGATTAAAATCACCACAGATGATCACCACTGCAGCAATTATGACTGTTTTACATACATTCATTCATAAAAGCTTCAGATTCCTGTTTATGCTGAGCAGCTTGCAAATAGTTTAAGGATTAGGCAAATGAGGACTGGGAAATAGTTGCCAAACCAGTCTTACTGACATAGGAAGGGTATATGAACTGACATTTATGTAGGGTTTTCTCCCCCCGCCCCGGTATTCTTAGAGATGCTTTTATTAAATGTTTTGGAAGAATAGATGACTCCATTTCGCAATAGGAAAGTTAATCTTTTTTTCCCCAACTTTGTAGCCTCTTAACAACTATAGCAGCAAATTCTAGGATTCAGCTTCAAAAACCCTTATAGCCGTTAAGTTTTTGACAAGTTTTTTGGACTAGAATTCTCATTTGGTGCATAAAATTCAATAGATAGTACTATAACATCTGAAAGCATGTATCATAAAATTATTAAGGGACCAACCAAACTTTCAGAATAGCATAGGAATAATTTACTCCATCTCCTTGCTCTGTACTAGATCCAATTCTGATTTTTTTATATACTATTGAATTAGGAGTGTGTAGGTGCTCCTGAAAAAACATTTATTTTTCTGAGTTTATACATGAGTACATTGTATTTTGCTGAAACCAGGTCACCGTGTCAAATATTTTATAATTTACATACATACATACATACATACATTATATAATAGAGAGATTAATTTTAGTACAATTATTGCAATCTTCAAAATTAACATTTTTCCCTATTATACAGATTGATGAAAACCAGAATGAAATCAGTTTTCTGCATAGCCATGTTTATAGCTTGTCGTATGATCTCAACAACTTGAAATCTGAAGTCAATATGGCCTCTATTCCTCAGAAGGAAAAGGGAAAGTGATCAATATATTAACAACAAACTGTAGTTCAATGAACTAATAATTTGAAAAGTAGTTAATTTTCCCTTATATAAATATCATTCTTTGAAAAGTTTCTTTAAATTAAGAAGTTGTATTTTATACAACTTCTGGGACTATTTTTTTAAAAAAAAATGACTTAGAGAAATATCTTAAGATAAACTAGTTTTTTTACTTTAGATAATATTTTAAGTATTTGTATATTCTCTTAATTTCAAGGTAATTTTAATACTTTTATCGTTATTAATGGATCAAATTCACATGTGAAAAGAAATTGTCACAAATTAGTACCAGTGAAAAAATAGGGTTTGCATGGTATTCTTTTTGACATGATTACGTTCAGCATACAACAAAACTGCAATGTTTTCATGATCAACCATCTCAAACAGAAAATTTACCTTTTTTAAAAGTCAGAATTCTTTCCGTATTCTTCTCCCTATAAAGGATCAGATTCATCAACTCTTCACAATATCTATAATGGTTAGTGCCATCTGAATCATCCCATTGAGCAGACATTGAGCCCAAATTAACCCATTTATAAAGAGGGGAAATCTAACCACAAAAGTACCAGTACATGGAATGTACAAACTTACAGCACAGCAGTATGAAGAGAAGAGCTTAGTGCCATGTTGCTGTTGTACATGTTCTACACAATTCTCTCTACAACACCAATTCAGTAAAGAATCTATTACTTAGTATAGCCATGCAAATAATTTGAAAGGACACTTCAATACCCACAACTTTGCAAGCAGGACCATATCATGCTAAAGATTCTGTTTGACTGCTTCAAAGATCTTCTCCTGTCTCCCGTTTTTCTTCACTGGCGGTTTCAGATGATCTTTTGTGCACACAAATGCATGAACTGAGAAAAGGTTTATATTAAATCATTGCGTTTTACATTTCTGTTCACTTGGCAAGTTGCTATGATTGAATCTTTCCCTGGTCCAACTCCAATTAATTGCCTAGCCCTAGTACTCCTTTTAGCAGTTCTTCTTTGTCTTTCTGCTAATGAACAATATATACATGATTATGAATATGTCAAAACCTAGAGAGTGCAGAAATTAAGACTGCTGTTTGGTATGCATATTAAGAGTTCCCAGGTTGTTCTGGCAGAGAAAACACCATTTGCAAGAAAAAATAGTGACCCATGATTCAGAATGTTTAATTTAACAATACTTAGCAATGTGCATATCCAGTTAGATGGAGCTGGTGGATTTTATCCTATACTTCTGCATAAACAGAAGCGTACCATGCTCTATTGGGTGCTAAAACAATACACATATACAAAAAGCATTTAATATATTTTAAAATGTTATAAAGCCCTGCAGACATATATAAAGGAAAACTGAAATTCAAAGGGGCTTATATAAACTAATCTGATTGAAAAAATAAGTAGGTAAGCAAATTTGTGATTTTAAGGCTAGTAGCCAGGCTAAGCAAAACAAATATATTACCATAATGCCATAATTCTTATAAAGTTATAAACAAAGTCCAGAGCTAAACTAAGGCACATACCCTTAGGAGTGGGAGACTGAAGAGATACCATCTACATTATTTCTTGCAGTTTCTTAAATTGTATGCAGTAGCTTAAAATATATAAATAAATTTTAAACTATGGACTTCATTCTTTTTATTATGCTTCACATATTTACATGTAACTCTTTTAATTACTATATTTTGCTTTAGTTATGTACATTTTCATACCATAACAGTGTATTAAGGAAATAAAGCTTGCTTAAATAAACATGCTTCTTGCCTGAAGCTATTTTGGAAAATTGCTTAATAGTAGTATAGCTAACCGTCCAAATCCAGCTTAAAGAAAGGTACTAGATGGATTGGTTCTTAATAGCTGTGCAGAATGTAAACCCCAGAAATCTAAGCCAATTTGAGGATTAATGTAGAAGTTAGGATTCAACAATAACTGATTCTTAATCTCTGGTTTATAAAGAACTTTTTCCAAAATATAAATTACCAACATTTTTCTTCCAATTAGTCATAACCAATAAAAAGATCAGTGTTGAGACAACTACCATGGGGTATCAGTTGTTTAAATTGAACAGTTTTCTTCGATAAAGTAATTTTGATAATGCTTGTGTTTTGTTAAAGGAATAGCCAAAATGTCACACTTAAGATGTAACTTTTAAAAAGCCTGATTAGAGATGCAAAATGCACAGTAATTTATCCAAAGCCAACAGAAAATCCTGAATATGTCTACAGTTTTTTTTTTTTTTTAAAAGATAACCCGAACAAATCACAACAATTCTGCAATGTACCAAGTGTATATTTCAATTTACTGTATTTAATCTAACAACAGATTTGGTCATAATTTACCAGATATACACAAATGATTTAAGTAGCAAAAGGAGATTCGGTTTCAAGAGAGTAAGTAAAATACATTAAGAATGTAAAGCCAGGTCCAGTTTAAGCATTAAGTGAATAGTATGTTATAATAAAGCAGATTTAGGTGATTTTCGGACTAAAGATAGGTAGATCAATTGTAAACTATTTTATGGGGAATAAATGGGATGAAAGAAATCTTTATACTATAACTTACATATTCACAGAGCAGAACATTTACTTAACGTTAAAATACTTCCCATTCATATTATGTTTCCCCACTATTTTCTACTTTGGACCCCAACAGAATTACACATTACTCATTTCAGTCTAGAAGAGAATAAGATGTTTTCAGTTCTTAAAAACAAAACCCAAGAACTACTTATCTGTCAGGTTTACAGTGATGTGGAATCTACCAATAATGTATTTGGATAGAAAAGATTATACAATTTAATACCCATATGATTCAGTCTCTGTTTCATCCAGCAGAAACAGTGTCTAACATTAATCCATTGTTGTATTGAAATAAGGGATAATAAAGCTGTCTCTTTAAATATATTTTATATATATTTTATATATATATATATATATATATATATAAACTTTGAACAGATGGAGCACCATTAAGATTCTATCTGTCAAAGCAATTAAGTTTACCACACAACTACCATAATTTAGTTTGCAGATATAAAATAGGAAAATATACTCATTTTAAAGTTAATAAACTCAAATATGGTGACCCTCAACTTATAATACAGTACTATCACACTGGCCTAGCTATGTATTATGATAAATGCTGTGCATATTTATTCACTGTGACATAGTAATATATTGAATGCAGTGTCTAAACTTCAGGTAGCTCACGTGCATTCAGGCTAGATGAAGCTGAGAATTCTAAGCATAAAAAAGGTGCAATACCCTCCCTTCCCTCAGAAAAAAAGGCCTGAAATCATTGGTACAATATAACAAGTTTAGAAAAGATTTATGGCTACAAAAATTCAAGTTTCAACTTCTCATCCAAAAACAGAAGCAAAGAGCATTGGGGATAAATAGCTCCAGCAATTATATTAACAATTTTCTTTTTTAAAAAAAGAAGTTCCAGCAAATTAAGCTGCCAAGTTAAACGTAGTTTGTTTGGTATATAAAAGAACCCCCAAAATAGGAGAGAAGCAAAGATTCAGTTTGTGTTTACTTTAATGAAAAGCAAAGGGGCACAAAAAAATAGACAGCCTTATGTCTAATTTTTCACATAACAAAAACTAGACAAAAGCAGACAAATTGGGCTGGACTATTAAAATCAAAAATATCAATTACACTCCTTTTCAGATTCTAGGACTCTAAGCTTTGTGATGGATTGAGGTATACAGTAGTGAATAAAAGTAATAGCCAATAGAATAGTGCTAACAAAAACATAAATTAAAATATGGGCAGCCACGCCAAAAAGTGTCTAACATAAAGTTCTTTAAGTGACAAGGAGAACATTTCTTTCATTCCAATCACAATCTTCCTTGCAGTTTTAAATCATTATTAACATTTGGTGAAAGAGCTGTAGCATTTTGCAAACTCAAAAGTATTGAAACCTAAGTAACTCAGGAAATTAAATATCAGTGATTAGGTTTCCAGGATTTGTCAGCTATCATATCCTGACAAAATTAAGTGACACAGATTCATGTCATCCAGAAGCTGGATATTTAAATTATTGGGGGAAGGGCAATGGCAAGAGAGGTGAGGTAAAGCCTCCTTTTAGGAAACGCGAGCCACTATGCCAGACTAGCCACTTTTGTTCAAAAACTATGATTGGAATCAAGGGAGCCATCTCCAAAAATCGCAATCTATTTCATCCATGTTAAGAGACGCATGAATGATTAACATAGGCATAGTTAAGTACTATGCCAGATTAGGACCCAAATAGTAATATCCTATAAATAATAAAAATACATTTTTCCTTTGATAATTGACTGTAGGTGTGAGGACTCTATATAATTCAACCAAATGACTGTATGCTGTACAGTCCTGTGCAAATATCTTTAAAAAATTAATAATCCTTTTTTTGCTATAAGGCTTTAACCCTATAAATTTCACAGCAACATAACTTTCATCCAGCCTGTACCATATTTTTTCCAAGCCTTCAGTCCAAAAATTCAACATGGTCAGTCTGTATGACGTCAAAATAAAGCATCTATAAGATCAAATCTCCTCAGTCTTCTAAAGGCACACAGACTTCCCCAGATTCATCCCACCGAGTCTGGTCATTCTGTTCTTCTATATCATCAGGTAGCTCTTCATCAGCTTCCCCTACTTCATTTTCTTCAAACTCTTCATCTCTAGGAAAATCGGTGTCCTGTACCTGGTCTACTCCTTCTTGCGCTCCTGGCTGAGATTTGTCTGCACAGTCAACGCAAACACCGTAACGCCGAGATCCATGTCTTATGCCAACGCTGGCTGCTAGCATGAAAATCTTCTTGCACACCATACATTTGTACTTCTTATCCTTTTTGTGAACCTGCACAAAGGATAGAATTATTACATCAACAGATTTAATATAGATTTATTAAAAATGATTTTGGCTTTGTAATTAATCCAAACTAAGAATTTTAATATACTTGAAAGCCACAATATGGCTACACTCATATCTAAATTTTGCACTTCACAAGCAGTGACAAAAATACAACCTTGTTACTTTGTTCTTTTTATATTTTTCAGCTCCTATTTCAACCCCAGTTCCTTAGTAAGTTGAATTATAAATTATTGTAGGAGGCCATTTAAAACCTAATATCAATACAATATTACTTCCTGAAGCAGATATTCAAGCAGCTTTTAACAAGGAATGCCAATCTTAAATTTCCTTCAATTCTTGAGATTAAAAGGAAATAAACTCTGACACCAAATTTCTTGGCTTTTTAATTACCAATACATTGTAAGGTGCAAAAATCCCACACTGTATTCTTGTTACTGAATCAGAGCATGAGAAAATAGCTGAGATGCAGATTTATATTTATGCCTACTGAAACAAAAGCAGAGCAAGACTCTACATATTCATCTAAATCTGGTTACTGGTTCAACCAGAGCAGACCTCTATTCATACATTTAGTTTATCTACAATAGTAGCCTTCCTGAATAATGAACCAGAGAAGTATTTCCGTTTTTACAGTATTTAGAAAAAAACTGCAACAAATTTTCATTAATTATCCAATTCATTAATTTTGAATGTCTAAACATATTTTACAGGATCCAATCTGGGTCAGTCACCAGGACCAGAGGTTTAGTCTTCCGAGCTTTCGGACTCGTGCTGGAGCCCAACCTCAAGGAACTTCTTACCATTATCCAATTATAGATGTTAGTTTGTTTGTCCAATAGGAAAATATAATTCCAAATATTGCCACAGAGAATGCTGTAGTTTGAAGCAGGCTACTTATTTAAACACTTTCATTGTAAACTGCACAAATGTGGTATCAGTTAGTAGCTTAATTCTATATGAAACATGATATACCAGAGTAATTCAATACAACAAATATTAAGTTTTATTGTAGCAAATTGTAGATGTTACATACCAAGGAATGTCTTTTTACATGTTCTCTACGAGTAAACAGTTTTCCACAAATATCACAGCTGAAAGACCTCACTCCTGTATGAATGAGCAAATGTCTCTTTAGTGTTCTTCTATATTTGGCTACATAGTTACAGTGTGGACACTTCAATTTATTCATGATTAGAGAAGAATCACCTAAAGAGCCAAACAAAAATGATTTAATAAGTTAGCAAAAATATTTTTCAAAATATAATAACATAGTATAATATAGTGTTTGTGTATGTATATGTACATGTGTGTATATATTGCCATTTAGTACAAAGCTAATCTGTGCATAGCCATAAGAGCCAAATTTATTTCACCCACATACCTTAAGTATGTTTACTTATAACTAGTTCATTCACCTTCATTTTTAAGGCGTTAAATTACTTGACTTCTGTTGAGACCAAGGTTAAACAGAACATAACAGCAATTTACCACATAATTGGAACAGGTTAGCAAAAGTGTAATTTCCAACTGTTTAGTAACAGCCTACATACAATAACATACATGGTACTTTCTGAAAATTTTTCCAGTGTTTAATTCATCCACTTTTAAGGTCATCAGAAAAATTGGTGATAATTGCACATAAAGTGTTTCAGTGTCTTGAAAGTGTTTACGCAATTATCCTTATTAAATAAACAACATAAAGTATACAAATTGGAAATTTTCTAATGCATACAGAAAAATGTCCTAGGCAGAGATTTCTGTAATCCCCTAAATTGTAAAGAAAGATTTTCAGAAATGTTTCTGTTCAAGGTTTGCCAGAATGCTAATGCAGGTAGTCCTCAACTTACATACATTTATTTAGTGACCACTCAAAGTTACAATGGCACTGAAAAAAGTGATTTATGACTGCTTTTAGCACAACTGTTGCAACAGTCCACGGTCACATGATGAAAATTCAAACCCTTGGCAACTGACTCACTGTCCTAACCTAGGCTTCCTGATATAATAAAAAGCACACAATTAGTCTCAAAACCCGTTTTTTTATTTTAATGGCTGTGAATTCTTTTCATTCACAGCACGTGCTGAATCACCAAGAGTTTATAAATAGTCCAACAGAAGTCTGCCACAGTCCTTTGGATAAGGCTGGTAAATAACCACCTTTATCTTATTTGACCTGCTGCCAAAGACCTAATTGATAATTATCTTGGCAAGGCCACACGGAAACACAAAGTCAAAAATGGAGCTTCAAAGTATAAACCGACACCATCCACAACGTAGACACCATTCGCATCAGGAGCTCTGGTGGCTCAGCAGACTAATTAACATCCACTTACATATGCTGCCTGCAATTACTGCAAGTTCAAATCTCACCAGGCTCAAGGTTGACTCAGCCTTCCATCCTTTCTAAGGTAGGTAAAATGAGGACCCAGATTATGAGGGCAATAAGATGACTTTGTATAAATATACAAAAGTATGAAGGCTATTGCTTAATGCATTGTAAGCCGTCCTGAGTCTCCGGAGAAGGGCGGCATATAAATCAAATTAAAAAAAAAAACGTTGCTTCCTGCAAAGGCCCACGTACCTTTGCTCTTCCTTTATGTCTTATGGGAGGGGCCAATCATCTCCAAGCCTTACTCCCGAGTTGTCCCTTTTGTTTTAACTGTTCTTGCCTTCTGGCAGCTCTGCGCATGTGTACACTAGGAACAGGCTCCCCCTGTTCCTCTGCCTCTGGAGGCTCCAGAGTCCGCACATAACTCCCAGATGGCCTGGCCCCATCTCTGCCTCTGATGCAGAGCCCTCATCCAAGCCTTCCCCAGACTCCAGGACTGGCCCATGTTCCTTCCCAGCTTCCTCACTGTCCGACTCTGCTGCCAGCTCTGCTGGCTGCTAGTGGGCCACAACACTCACCTTTATGATGGTTGCAGTGTTCCTGAGTCATGTAATCACCTTTTGTGATCTTCTGACAAGCAAACTCAATGGGGAAGCCAGATTCACTTAACAACTGTGTTACTAACTTAACAATCACAGAGATTCACATAGCAACTGTGTCAAGAAAGGTCATAAAATGGGGCAAAACTCACATAACAACTATCTCGCTTAGCAACAACTGTTGGGCTAAATTGTGGTCATAACTTGAGGACTACCTGTACTAACCTTGGTAAATAAAAGGCCCTCTAACTGAGTCAATCACTCATGCATTCTTATAGGTAAAGACTCATGCATTCTTATAGGTATGGAAGTTCAACCAAAATTTTAGACAAAGCAAATCCCTAGAGATACTGTTTTTAATCTAAAATGCTAAAAACTCTGTCCTCCCCCATTGACCCACCAGTTGAAATCAAAATTATAGATCCTGGAATTTTAGAATTCTAATTGAAAACCAAATAAACACAAGAAATTTGTTCACCATTAGTATACTAATTAGTATAAGATGAATTGTACCAAAGTTTCAAAACCTTTTAAAATTGTGCCAGAAATTCAAAAAGCACATTTTTGAATTGTAGCAGAGTTTAAGTATATTTTTAAATTGTATGAATGAATGAAGATAAGGTCACACATATGATTAGATCCTCCAAATTCTGGGAAATATGTAAAGACGGACTAGGAAAGCTTTTTTTCAAGTTTGAGGGAAGCATGCCCTCATAAGAAATCTTTAGTAGAAGGGAAACATATGCCAGGACCTTCAAAATTCTTATGGTCTGTGGATCTGCAAATTATCATTCAACAATAGATATCTTGCTTAATAGTTACCATTGCAGATTCTTTCTATGCAGTTTTGGATTTTTGGAGAATAGTGTTCACTTCTGATACAGTACAATTGTATTACTCTTGTATAAATAGAAAATATAAAGTTTGAACAGAAGTTAATAAGATTTGCTCACCATTTTCCCAGTTTTCTTTTGGCCAGGATTCAGGTAGCAATCCATATTTGAAATCATTTGAAGTCCCTGGTAGTAACCCAAACTTGAAATCATTGGTGATACTAGGAAATATTCCAAACTTGAAATCATTTGAGGTACCTGTTATGAGAGATTTTTTTTAAAAAAATTATACATTGTAAGATCTGTACAAAAAACATATTAATGCAAATAAATAAACAACGATATTGTACATAAAAAACACAGACAGGCAGTTCCACAAGTAACCCAGCCCTGCATATGAGGATTTTACCTAGGCATATTGAGATTCAAGGTTCAAAAGTGTACATTAAACCTTGTATATGCTATATGCATTCATTTCACATCTTTGGGATGCAAAACACTCTACAAAAACTTGACCTGAGTTTAATTTGAGTATGAATAGTAATTTGAGTATTAGTTAATTTGAGTATTATCTGTTCTATGTGCTACATACTGCAACTAGAAAATTCTACATACAGTTCTAAATTCAACACCCAGTCTAATCTGTAATTTATCATGGCTATTTCATAGAGGAAACAAAAACAGATCACCTAAGTTTTAACTTCCTGTTTCAATGAACTTTCTATTGGCCATCATGACCAGAAGAACTTTCAGGGACAGAGCAAATAGAAACATCTTTTGGTTGGCAGAACCTGAGAAAGTTATGAAAGGAAGGGCTTAAAATGTTGGAGGAATAGGAGAAATTTATAAATCAAGACTCACTTTTGTTTTTGAATTTTGTTTTACTGAGGAAAGCTAAGCTACAACCAGCTCTCTAAAATGGACCTGTTATTGAGGCTAAAAAACCCTTAACAAATAAAATGAAAGATTACAGTTAAAAGAGCAAATCCCAAATTATTTACAAATCTAAAAAAATAGACTGAAATCAAAACAAGATAAATATAGAATAATTAGTGCCTTCTAAGAATGTTTTGAGTTAGGTATTAGTAGCAATTGTATTCAAAAGCTACATTTTAAAATCATTCAAATCTATCAGTGCTGGTTCATATTTTAAAATCTATTATTTTAAAATAGAGAAATGTTTCCCACAAAATGTCCCCTAACTCTCATGCAAGTCTGAAGACGTACACCAAAATAAATTACTGTAGTAAATAACTGCTTCCAACATTCTTTTGCGAAGTCCATGTTGACTACTGGACTATTAAGAGAGCTTAGTGCATTGCAATAAATAAATTTGAAAATGTCTAAGCCAGAGGTCAGCAACCTGCAACTCTGGAGCCGCATGTGGCTGTTTCGTCCCCCTGCTGTAGCTCTCTGTTGGCTGAACACCACTGACTGGCCCCGCCCCTTACCCTCCCCTCCCACTCACTCCTTGCCTGGCCTGAGAAGGTAAGGGTGACGGCGGGGGATGGAGACTTGCTCCATATTCCAGAACAGGAGCAAAGTACCCCTGTACTTGCTGATTATATATAGTCAGATGCCGCTGACAGACAGACAGACATACCTGTTTCCTACAGAAAAGAAACTACTGGGAGCAACAGAACCTGGGAAGGCATGGCTGGGAGTGTGTTATGTGACTGGGTGGGAGTAAGTGACGTTGAGTTGGCCACGCCCACCCAGGTTTTGTGGCTCCCGGTGTATTCTTTTCTGTGGGAAACTGGTCCAAATGGCTCTTTGAGTATTTAAGATTGCAGACCCCTGGTCTAAGCAATAGCTAAACAAAAATGTTACCTTGTTTTTGGATAATTCACACGTAAACTAACAACACTTTAAAAGGTCCAAATCAGCTCTCAGTTGGCTGGCCCTAGTTAACTGAGCTAACTGAAATGGAGGAATTACTTTTCTCATATTGAATAACTTTATGTATGAAAAAGGAAACAAGCACACTTTGGAATTTACTTGTCCACTCAAAATTTCTTCATAAATAAATAGGACCCATATGAAGCTCAATATTTAAGATATATTTTTTTTAAATTTGATTTATATGCCGCCCTTCTCCGGAGACTCAGGGCGGCTTACAATGTGCTAAGCAATAGCCTTCATCCTTTTGTATATTTATACAAAGTCAGCTTATTGCCCCCACAACTGGGTCCTCAATTTACCTACCTTAGAAAGGATGGAAGGCTGAATCAACCTTGAGCCTGGCGAGATTCGAACCTGCAGTAATTGCAGGCAGTTG